TATAACTTCTGACAGATCGGAACTGCTAGAAATATGCGCCGATTTCTACCAGGAACTTTATGGTTCAACGAAAAAACAACCGAAGGATCATATAGATATCTCATCCAGAAAATCAGACATACCGCCAATACTACAGAGAGAAGTTGAGGAAGCTGTAAACAGTATGAAGGACAACAAGGCACCGGGAAATGACGAAATAACAAGTGATATTATCAAACAAGGAGGGGAGGAGACAATCACACAGTTAATGAAACTATTCAACCAGATATTGGAAAAGCAACAGATTCCAACCACTTGGAAAGAGGCAAAAATAATTCTTTTATACAAGAAAGGTGACAAAGCTGATGTCAAAAACTATCGCCCTATCAGCCTTCTATCTCATCTGTACAAGATCTTCACCAAAGTAATCCAAAATAGAATCAAAGATAGATTGGACTCAAATCAACCCAGAGAACAAGCAGGGTTTAGAGCTGGATTCTCAACAACAGACCACCTACAAGCTATAAATCAACTAATTGAGAAAGCAAATGAGTACCAACTTCAACTATGCCTCGGATTCGTAGACTACCAGAAGGCGTTTGATTCCATCGAACACACAGACATGTTTGATGCCCTACGAAAGATTAACATTGAAGAAGGGTATGTGCGCATCCTGGAAGATATTTACTCCAACGCAGTAGCCAGAATTCACATTGATAATGATGTATCAAAGGAGGTCAAGATCCAGAGGGGAGTCCGACAGGGAGACACATTATCTCCAAAGATATTCACAGCCACTATAGAGGAAGTATTTAAAAAGTCGCATTTAAATGGAGGAATAAACATTGATGGGGAAACGCTTACTGATCTAAGATTTGCTGATGATGTGGCCTTGATCTCAACATCAACCAAAGACTTGGAAGACCAGCTGACAGGTCTCAATAGGGAGAGCAAACGTATTGGCCTAACTATGCACAAAGAGAAAACTAAATATATGACTAATTATGACACAGATGAAAACATCGAGATAGAAGGTCGAACGTTAGAGAGAGTGAGCAGTTACAAGTATCTGGGACAAACTTTGAAAATGGAGGACACCACAAAAGAAGAAGTTATGATGAGAGTAAAAGCAGGATGGATGAACTTTGGAAGATACAAAGACATGTTGACCGATAAAAACATACCCATGTCACTAAGAAGAAGAATGTTCAACCAATGCATTCTAACAACTATGACATATGGATCAGAAACATGGTCATTGACAAAGGATCTAGAACAGAAGCTTGTGACTACTCAAAGAGCTATGGAGAGAAAGATGTCGCATTTATCTCTGCGAGACAAAATCAACCACAAAGTCATACGCCAGAAAACAAAGGTTAAAGACATCATGGAGAAAGTAAGAGAATCAAAGTGGAGATGGGCTGGGCATGTAGCAAGACTGCAGGACAATAGATGGACAAATCGTTTAACAGAATGGCAACCAAGGGTGGGAAAGAGAAGAAGAGGAAGGCAGAAGAGAAGATGGAGAGACGACCTAACATCATACATAGGAACGGCCGCTTGGACCAGGACAGCTAGAGACAGAAGAGAATGGAAATTTCATGAGGAGGGCTTTGTCCAACGTCTGGATGAACTATAGCCTGATAGATAGATAGATAGATAAGGAGTTTTGTGTTCTATACCTGGGGTGATAGTGAAAGTTATAAAAAGAAGAAAATTTAAGTGAGAAAAAAAAGAGGTTTTTTAGAAATCTGAGAGCATGCGCGAGGCGTTCAAGCAAGTCATGAATAAATGGCACCTCACCCCCCCCCCCTAATTTTAAACTGGATTTACATTGATTTCAGGGACTTTCCATTTTGTGAGAAAAAAATCAATGAAATGAAGAAAACAAAAATTGAAAAATAATTGGGAAAAATTTGGGAAAAAAAATAATCAGGAAATTATCAGGCCTGCTATACTGTATAAAAAAGTTATGAGTTTAAAAATTGCATTGAGTAGACTAGTTGATGCACGCCTACACGCTTGTATAGAATAAGGCGTTTCTATAATCTTTTATTTTCTTCTTACTAGCTTACCTTTTAACCTATAGAATGCCGAGTAAAAAAGGGTAAGGTTGATTATCAAAAATAATGTTTTAGGTGATTAGTACACTTTGAATGGCAAATTTCCTTCATGATTTACCATTTAAGTACAGAACTGAAATGATCATCCCCCTTAAAGCCTATCTGCACTAGTTTGGCCAGGAGGGATTAAACGGCCCTGCGAGGTCACTGGCAGGTAGTTATCTCATCAAATCAGCTCTCAATTAACATTAGAAAAAGGGAATCATGGGGGACCAACGGATACCCCTAAGGCATTGTTGGCTGTATAGAGGGTGCAAGTAGCTACAGGTAGTGAAGTCCCGCTTTAAATTCTACTACACCTATTATGATAACATAATTAGAGTGCTGTCCAAACATCTATTTTTAGTGTAGGGATTTATTTTGAATTTCTTAAACTCCCCTTGATATCTATGATTCATCCCTTTCATACTAATAAGTCATCCCTCATTCACATTAACCCTTTCATCCACCATCCTTTCATCTGTCTATCCTTCTTCCTGCCTAAGCTGTTTGTGCAAAGCTTACAGTACACTTAGAAGTTAGAACCATGAACTTAGTGTGTCACAAGCGTAAAATCTTCAAGGCCTCGAAGCAGCACATTCCTTGGAAGAAGAAGAAGAAGGAAATATCAGCACCTGTTTCTCTAAGTCAATCAGGCAGATAGTCAGTCTTTATGTTAATTTCCAGAAACAGATTTATGAAGCAATTTTCAGTGGAGACTGAAAAACATGTTCAAATTTCTTGTGATAAATGTATTGTTCAGATGACAAAGACATATAATGTTACGACCTAGTAGTTCCATCTATTGTTGTAATAATGTAGGCAGCATGAGAAGCCATTGGTGACTTGCCACAGAAAGTTCATTTGAAAAACATTATAAATGATACAAGCCAGGTGAGGGAATGTAGAGTACCTTTGTGTGATAGATCTAGCATGGATGGGGTACATACAGGGTAGTGATCAAAAAGTATCTTTAAAAGGCCCATGACAATAAAATACAAGTGTTTTCCTGTTCGTGTGCAGTCCTGCATACATCTCATATTTTGATATGTAAACTTCTGAATTTGTTTCATAGATTTTTAAATATTTGTTTTTCAAACTTGCTAAGCTCCGGCCACCCCAAAAACCTCCAGATCTCATTCCCCTTGTGACATCGTCTGTCAGTCATCATTGAGCTAACTTGAGAAAGTGGCATGTGGTAACTTTGCCAAAGTTGACCACCTGTTACAATACCACAAACAATAGCAACATATAAGTTGCTATGTCAGACATGTCAGACTAAACTAATATTCTAGAATAGACAATGGTATGTAATTTCCCCCAGCTTAGCACACGTTCATAATAGAATTGCTTCCATACATATGTCCAATACATCATCATTGCCTTTGTCTTCCTGGTGATGCTACAGCATGTCTGACATAGCAACTTGTATGTTGCTATTGTATTACATATTGTAACAGGTGGTTGACTTCGACAAAGATACATGTCATGGGCCCTTTAATTAAAAAAATAAAAATAAGTATAACACAATATAAAACAAATGCACGGTTAGTTCATAACATATATTTTTACGGGGTTTTTCATATTTTGTGTGTTGTTTTTTGTTTTTTTGGTAAAAGAATAAAAAAAAAGGGTGATTTAAAACATGTTTTTAAACCTGTTTAAAAGTCCATTGTTTTATAAAATGGATACGCAGTATGCAGATTCAGAGAATACATGGCATCCTTCACACAGAGTGACATACAACAAACAGCCTTCCGATCAAACTACATACTTTTTTATCCTTCAAAAGAAATAGAGTGGTGAAGTGTGACGTCATCAAAAATCTATTTTTAGAATTTCTCAAAAACCAATTGAATATGGAGCCAGAGCATATAACACTGAGTTCCTATAATGAATAAATTCATTCAGATGGTCATATCTCAGCCAATGCTTAACTTATATTATTCAATTGGTTTTCAACATTTGGACTTTATTTTTGATGCTCTTTCAAAAAATGAAGAAAAATTGAGAAATTCTAAAAAATTGATTTTTATAACGTCACAGCTTCGGTACTCTATAGGTGTGTATTGTAAAGTTTGCTGCCTTGAAGATACTCTATAGCCAACTGAGACTAGGACTGAAACTCAAAGTTTGATTCATAAATATCTGCTGGGATAAGTACTTGTTCAAAGCATTTAGCACAAAATACAATAGGAATAAATACAAATCTCATAAACAATTTACATCAGTAGAAACAAAAGAAATTCATTTTGAATGAAAATAAAAAAAAAGACTAAAATAGTTACGTACTTAAGTAACTTTGGAAGGTGAAACCACTTAAGCTATAGTGTTTCTCGTCATTAGCGATTCCACCATCATGGGTGAAGTGCAATTCAATTCCATTCAATTAAAATAAAGATACGATTGGCATAATGGCGTCCTATCATACAAGCGGAACTCCTCCATTTTGTCTAGTTTTTGTATTGGAGTGGACATGTTCCTAGATATGTAACAACATTGAAGGAAGAAAAGAATGTTTCTTTCATATCAAAAGAGGAATTCAATAGGTAGATGTGTTGAGGTCTAGTGGATAAGTCATCCAACTGCAGGTCACAAGGTACAGGGTTCAAATCCCAGCCAGGCACTTACATCCTTTGGCAATACATTAATCTACAACATTTGCCACTCTCCACCCGGGTGTTAAATGGGTACCCAGTAGATTGTGAAAGTTAATGTAGTTTGCTCAGCATTGTGAGCATCTGTAAAATGAGGCCTGGCTGGAATGCTCCCCAGGGAGTGAAGAATGTGCATACATTGGCAAGCCTGAATCCGATCACCAGGGTAATAATATATATCTGTAAAGCGCTTAGAGACATCGTTGATGTATCAAGCGCTATATAAAAGTGAAATATTATTATTAATATTATTTATATAGTCAAAAGATCTTTTCTTTGTTTACCTCATTTAAAAAAGAGGGGACTTACCGTATTCTATGCCATCATATCTGGCCATATTAGATGCTACTTCTACAGTGTTCAGAACAGAATAGACAGCTATGGAGTACTGTGTGTGAGGGAGAGATATTGGGCTTACTTTAGCCCCTGCATTTTCAAATAGATTGGCAGCATTGGACCAGGCTAGTAAAACATCTGCACTCAGTCCTGGGGCATGGTACTCCTATAATGAAAGATTAACAAAAAAAAAGGAGAAAAAACATTAATTTAAAAACATGTTTGGGTATAATGTAAAGTTGAATATATCTACTCACACCAGACTAATGATTTTGGACAGTGCCATTTATTTTGCTGAGTTTTGCTTTTGACTCAACAGCTTTTCTTAGAAACAGTAGTGCCTTGTTTACAAATGAGGCTAAACTTGAAAGCTGCCAAGGAAATGATGATGAATGGTGGTTAACATCAGGATTTAATGGTTGCACTGAAGAGAGAGAAACCAAAAGTAGATTTTAATTTGAAAAGTGATTGGCAAAGTGTGGAAAGCATTAGGGCAAGTGGGGGTGGAAAAATTAGCTCTGCGTGGGCAACAATGACTCTAAAGCATGTGAATGGTACAAGATACATGTATTAGAAGCACACTATGCTGTGGCTACTCTTATTACCTTCATGCAGTGAAGTCCAGAGTAGGAATAATAGAAAGAGAGAGAGAGAGAGAGAGAGAGAGAGAGAGAAGGTGAGAAGGAGGCATGTAAGTAAGGTTGGCAGACAAGAAAGAGAGATGGAGAAAGTAAATATAGACAGAAAACAAGAGAGAGAGAGAGAGAGAGAGAGAGAGGGAGGGAGGAAGGGGGGGGGGAGAGAGAGAGAGAGAGTGAGAGCAAGCAAGGCCGGTCGAAGAGATTTAAAGGGAAGAAGAAGACAGACAGAAAAACATAGATATGAAGAGATAGAGATAGAGTGAGAGAGAGAGAGAGAGAGAGAGAGAGATGGAGAAAGATTGTTAGCAAACAAAGACAGAGACAAATGACTGTCAAAAAGGGAATGATGAGGCAAGAAAGCTGTTTTTAAATGAAGGCCTGAGATGTTATTCATTATTGCCATGGGGATAAATTCCATAGCATTGAGAGAAATATGTTTAAATGATATGCACCTTACTGTAGAGGATCAAGTGCATTTCAGTATGTCCCTTGTCACAAAATCTAGAGGAACAAGACTTCAACACATCCTGCGCTACAGGCTGCAAATCCAATCCAAAAATAACATAACTGCAGTACAGTATGTATGAACTAAGAATAGAGCTTCCCTTTCTTGAAACGACATTATATGTAAGTTCATCATGATGTAGGGACTAGGTTCCAAAATGGTCCCAATCTTAACACAAATTGTCAACTCATGATTCTGATAGATTTATATGATCTCGGATTCAAAATATTCATACCTTCATCATTATTTGCCAAATTCCTAACAAACCCTAAATAACTTTTTTTCTGATTTCGTTTCGTTTTTATACACATTCAATTTGGACAATGATTTTATTGCCCTTCTAAGATAAAACATTCATTGTAAAGTACCTGTGCTGAATGTATAGCCTGGTTCAAATCATGGATTTTAGTTTAGGTCTGCTACCCAAAATAAGCAGATTTTATCTGGAATTTTTAACAATTGATGAATAACTGATTTTAGATCTTTGCTGTGTCTTGTTCTATTTATATGTTATATGACATTGATTGTTGTCATGTACATTTTCTGCTATTTATTTAAGTTAGTATTGTCTGTTGGGAGCCAGGAGAGTACAAATAATCAAATAATTCCCCTGGCTCTTAACAGAGAGGTTAAATTATATTACATTGTTACGTTATTTATGTTATTTGTAGTTACTGTCTATGATATGTTAATGTATTGTTATATTTTATACAAATGTGAGCAGTAAGACAATTTTTATGCCTTCATTTTATTTTGTGCATGACAATAAAGAAATTCAATTCAATTCAATGGAGGTTTAACTTGGCACACCATGACAAACCTTTTTGGAACTCACTTACTACAAGGATATTAAGCTGAACATATACAGCATGTTATTCTTTTTTTAAAGAATCCCACTAAATGCCATCTGCACGAACTGAACTTTCTCTCAATTAAATTTTGATCTCATATACTGTGCCGGTAAAACCATACCAACAAAAAGGGCTCTATCCCCTGTGGGAAACATTGTGGGAATATACTTCATGCACTTCCTGCTTTCACACCTATTGACATGGTTAATTCATTCTATTTATCCCAACATTCCTTTCTTAATCAATTCACTTCGCTCATGATATAATACAAGACCACAGTCCAAGGGCAGCTAGTGCTGTGTGCAGAATATATTGTAGAAAAGAAAAACATTCCTTTCATGCTACTAATTTTGAGTGGGATTTGTCACGGTTTTGGAATAAAACAATAAAGAAAATGGAAAGTAAATGACTAAAAAGTATGTCATGTCAATAATGCAGTAAGCCTCCTTGCTTCTCAATTCAAAGAGCATCGATCTTAAGGGTCATTGTGGCCGTCACAGAGCTGCTTTTCTTGCTCACCAACATGGCTGCCTTGAAAATCATGATTACATCGTACCCTTGTATATATCATTATCATCTGGTAGGTCGGGCAGGGCTTTATACCAGCAGGTGTCCTGTATATATACACCCCCTCCCCCAATCCTCTCTCCATTTAAGAGTCTCAAAGGGGTCTGGTAAATACCTATTTTAATCCTGACCCCCAAGAGAAAGTTAGGGACAAGTCTTGTGTAGGGTGAGAGGTTCATGAGGAATATTCATGTGTATAGGGAGCCCTGTCATAGAATCTCATCTCTCATTAGTAAGGTTGCGACAGGAAAAAAAAAGCATTATATAACATTTATTCCCCTAACTAACAATATCAAGATATATTAATGAAAATTAGCAGAAAATAAAACAATTGATTTCCTGTAGGTTTACTTGCTCCAAAATGATCTCTTAGCTCCCTGCCAAAACATGAATATGCAAAGTGCAATGTACTCGCATGTATTTAAAACATAACGTAAAAGGTTTTTAGAGGAATACTCACTTGTGGTATACCTATATGAAGCCCTTTCACATCGATCTCATTTCAAAATGAATGGTTTTAGAGGAATACTCACTTGTGGTATACCTATATGAAGCCCTTTCACATCGATCTCATTTCAAAATGAATGGTTTTAGAGGAATACTCACTTGTGGTATACCTATATGAAGCCCTTTCACATCGATCTCATTTCAAAATGAATGGTTTTAGAGGAATACTCACTTGTGGTATACCTATATGAAGCCCTTTCACATCGATCTCATTTCAAAATGAATGGTTTTAAAGGAATACTCACTTGTGGTATACCTATATGAAGCCCTTTCACATCAATCTCATTTCAGTATGAATGGTTTTAGATGAATACTCACTTGTGGTATACCTATATGAAGCCCTTTTACATCAATCTCATTTTAGTATGAAAGGCTTTAGAGGAATACTCACTTGTGGTATACCTTCATGAAGCCCTTTCACATCAATCTCATTTTAGTATGAAAGGTTTTAGAGGAATACTCACTTGTGGTATACCTATATGAAGCCCTTTCACATCGATCTCATCTGGCAACGTAAAGGGTGTGAATGGATCTGTTACCGTGGTAGAGTCCATCGGGTCATGACCTGCCATAGCACCTGTTACAAGATATCATAAGAAAGGAAAAACAAATACACTGATTATGCCACTGCAGTATGTGAGTTCAGCTCTAAAACATCTTTATGTTTCTAGGTTTTAATTTGGGTACAATTTCATTGCAGTATAATACACGCTTTCTGCTGGTTATGGCTGCCAGAACTAAAGCTAAAGTATTGATATCCAAACTTTCTCATAGCGCCATGTCAAATTATCAATGATCTTCTTCATCATATTTTGTATGTAACCTATTCTTCACAAGCTTTGCTTTTTATTAGGTTTCATCATATTTCACTATCAAATAAATATATTTGCTTTCTTGTAAAAGCTGTTAAATAAGTCGATAATTAACTAACTGTGTAACATGTATCTATTTCCCTTTTGTGTGATTATAATTTACAGAGACCTGTTCTTTTTGTATCATGTGAAACATGGAAAACAACAAAGTGAAACTGAAACTGAAAACTTCTTGAAAGAGCCTATGGTTGTTATATCATAATGAAATATGCGCCCTAAAAGAATGGTTAATTATCATTATTATTCCATCAAGGTCACTTCAAGTGAATTTTTTAAAGGTAATACAAAGTTTTGGTATGAGGTCATGAATTTGGAGAGAAATGGGAACTGGTAGGACGACTAAAGCCTTTGTGATTGTAAATACCATATGCCCTCAATGTGCCTATACGGTAGGAATACTCCTCAGGGAGTGGAGATGATGCACACTGTGTGTGAGTGAATCTGATGACAGGGGTAATACTAATATCTATAAAGTACTTAGAGACGGTATTCCGTATTAAGTGCTATGTAACTCCAGATTTATTTATCACTACATTCATGATGTATATTTATTTGCCTTAGTACATGTAATTGATTTAGTGTGATTCACTGCGGATGGCATTAATCTTGAAGACACATGAGAATGGCATCATATTACCTAATACAGTGGCTGTATCATCGACAGTCTTGGTGAAGATACCAGGGACGTCCAGTGAATTGACCAGAGATATCAGACCATGTCTTGAGCAGAGACCATAGGTAGGCTTGAGACCGACTACACCACAGAAGGATGCTGGAAGACGGACAGAGCCTCCTGTGTCGGACCCAAGGGCTCTGAGGGTACAACAGTAAATAATAACAGTCATGTTAATAATAATAATAATAATAATAATACCCTAATAGTCCACTCCAAATTTTATTAAACCGAAACGGAAATTCTTTTTGCCCAATTGATCGTGAACCCGGCAGCCACTGAGCAGCGCCAGATCGACGTTGCTCTATCCCCTTATTGTTGAACGCCAAACAAGGTAGCAACAACTCCCATCTTTTAACGTCTTTTGGTATGACGTGGCCGGGATTCGAACCCACGACCTCCCAGTTGTGAGGCGGACGCTCTACTGACTGAGCCAACACTCCGGTTGTTTGGTAATCCATCAGTTATATCACAAGGTACTTTGAAGGAAAGAAGAAATTGGTGAAAGTTTGATCAAAATATGATGAGTAACAAGAAAGCAATAAATTTGAAAGTTGTCATCACTTTACATATGGCGATTTCAGATTCATGAATGAGTAATGTCACTGTGATGTTCCACCAGATATCTTTCCTTCACATGAAAATTGATTAATTATTCATCTTTTCATGCATGGTGGAAACACTGCTTTTTACTTCCCTTTCTCTCTTTTTTTCCATTTACTGCTATATTATGTTGATATGGTAAAAGATACAGTATCTCAAAAGACAAAATGTTGAGAGAATAACGTCAAAAGATATAATAGGCAAATTGTACGGCAAAACACTTAAAAAATTTGGAGACTTCAACTTTTCTCTTCCTTTTTAAATACGAGGCACAAAAATACCCACTGAGAACACAGATGGACACATTGTGTGTAGATATTAGGTATTTTCAGCTACTACCGGTATATGAAAAGAACAGAACAGAATTGTAATAAACACAGAGAAGCAGAAAGAAAAGAATATGCTAAATAATGCCCAACTTACGCCATACATGAGCCACTTGCTACAGCGACACCACTACCTCCTGAGCTCCCTCCACTCACAAACCAATCTGAATCAGCAACGGACTCATGAACATCACCTTCTGAGCTGTACTTTCCTCCAGCAGTCTGAGAAAGACGTTTCTGTACCCTATGGAAGGGGTATCTCCATATATTGCGTGTTGGTCCAAACAAACTTTCAGTAGTTCCACTCCTTCAGAATCACAGTAGAAGAAGAAGTGAAAAGGCTTTCAGTCATTTTTCATTAACTGATATGAGACTTGGTCACAAAAATTGTATTCTACATAACAAAATGCAGCTCTTAATTCATATATTACTACAAATTAATTGGTGAAATAATTAATGGCTTAAAAAATAGTACACCTTATCTTCATTTTCATTCTTCCTAATGAGGTCAATTTTTGGTAAAAGGGCAAATATTCAGCATTTCAGGAGGTTAAATCATAAGTATATAATTTATTGTCCATATCATTTTGTCTCATTTTGTGTACCGTAATTAACGGTGTATAAACCGCCCTCGTGTATTAACCGCACCTCTCTTTTTCGCCCTAAAAAAAAAAAAAAAAAAATTTGTGGCCGACTCTGTCGGCAGCAAGCCAGGTCGGGAAGGCCTTTCATTTAACTGCGAGGTGCAGCTGAATGTGTAAGATCATTAATGTAAATTAAAAAACAGTAGAGGACCTAGGATAGAACCTTGTGGTATGCCGTGTAATAGAAGAAAAATTGGATGAATTATTATTATAAACTACATATTGAGATCTATCAGAAAGATTACTTTCAAACCAAGATGACTGACACATTTGAGTGTTGTTCTAGTTTCCGAGTGGTGAGTCAACACACCGATTACTGAGCTGGGAGACATTGACAAATTTTTTCGACGGCAAAAGAGTGCAGTTAATACAACATTAATTACGGTATGTTTGTATTGTATTACTTGTACCAGCCATTGGAAATAAAATTTCCTGATATGGTATCGTCTGCATATTCAATGATGCTACACTCTGACTCTCTTACATTACACAGGCAGTCACTCATGTACAGGGACAAGAGCGAAGGAGAGAAGACACAGCCCTGGGGTGCCCCTGTAATTCACAACCCTGGCACTGGACAAAATGTTACCCACACCACTCGACTCATGTAGACACTCTGGATCCACAGAGTTTCCTGGAGTGCGACAATCTTGTACATTATCAAATACTTTCCTAGGTATTAGAAAGGACTTTCAACCTTATCAGATTTCCTCTATTTCATTCCTAACGCCTGCACATTCACTATACAATGATGACCATTCCTATTAGGCCTTAAAAAAAAATATGTTGTATTGCCCTTTGCGACCGATCCAAAAATCTTGAAGTCTATGGTCAGCTTTTTAAAAAAGTTTTTTTTTTTAACCGTTTTTTAGAGATTTTTTTTTAAAGCATTAAAAACTGAAAAATATCAGCCCAAAGAGGAAAAAAAAGAAGAAGATTTCTGACCGACCGACCCATGTTTTGGCACCTAAAGGGCAATACAACATCTTTTTTAAGGCCTTATTCCAAGATCTCTATAGATCTTACCCCATGGCAAACTCATCTAGGTTGGTTTTGCCCATTGTGATTGCGCCCTCATCTTCAAGTCTCTGTACAACTGTAGCTGTGAAAGGTGGCTTGTAATCTGCGGAGAATTGAACAAAATATAGAATTCATCCTTTGTTAGGTTTCTACAATTACAAATTAATCTGACTCCTCTATTCCACACATTCTGCTCTTTGGCTGAAGTGATGGGCAACAAATATCATCCTATCATGCTAACTTCTCTTCTGAAAAATAAAAAAAGACTATGAAATTTCTTACAGTGAAAAACAAGGGGTGGGTGATTGGTAAGAAACTGTTTCGTTCTTTAAAAACAACTTTATTGTATCTTTATGTTGATGTATAAAAGTTACTTACTCCACAACATTTTTGAACCACAAGTTGTTCTGAGCCCTGCTGTGCTGTAGTTGTCTTTGACGGCTATGGGTATCCCACCTAACGTACCAATTGTTGTACCTGAAAATTGACAAGAAATATAATATTTTACCAGGCAAAATTGTATGCCTACATAAATTCTGGATAGGATAGTAAATGCACTTTATAATTTGATTAAAACATGATTCTAAAACAACAATATCTCCTTGATGGTTGAATTCGGAAAACATTTTCAGAATTTGCATTTTTTTCTCAATCAATCTGATAAATGTGAAGGAAGAAATAGTATGTGACAACAAAATGATACCAACAAAAAAATATCTTCATATGATGAGCAAATCTACTACTCTACATATTCATTTACATTTGCAACAACTGAACCTACATGATTTTATAGTTTCCATTATTTGATATATAAAAATGTATTTCATAATTGAAGATTGCAGTTGCTTTACAAAATGTGAAGTAACTTTACTCCATAAAAAACATGATCGAGAAGTTTTGAACTATATATTTTTTGATTTTTTAAATTGTTGATAAGTTATGGCACAAGTCTATTTTATTTCTTAAAGTGCGTCTTAACAAGAACTTTATGTATTTCTTCAAGAATATTGGGTAGGATCACAAATGCACCTTACATGAAAATTTGACTTAAAATCATGATTTAATTTTACAAAAGGAGACATCTTCATGAGACGTATACATGGTCAGATTTGCAATGTTGAAATAGATATTTACTTGGATTATTTAAAAAAAAAAATCTTTCATATAGATCCTACAAATCATAAAAATAAATATCTGCCTAAGATGCAAACAGATAAAAAGTCACATGAGCGTTTAGTCAAACTGGAACAATATTTTTCACTCTTTCACAATCTCTCTCTCAGTTTCATACTTGACCTCCATGTTAAACGTTCCACTACATGCATGTGATGCCACCTTTAAACCTACCTATCCTTTTTTATATGTGTACTACCAACACCTGCACCAACTGCAGTTCTCCAAACTGGAGGAAGCCAAGCCAAGAAGAAGAAGAAGAGCTCAAAATGTCATTATCACTATAAAATGATAGAATGTTACCATTTTCACCACAATCAGATAAAGACATAGACTATCTGTTGAGAATACGGTTATTACTTAAAGTAAAAGCTATACTCAAGTTTTCAATCTTGTCAATCACTGGTATATATTCATCACCCTTTTATTTTCATCTACCGATACCTTTTATTTTCATCTACCTTTAGATATTTTTTCATGGATTTTCTTTGCATCTCCTAGTACTTCATCAAAGCGCTCTGTAACGAAAGCATTCAGTTCTTTGCAGCGCCTTGCCCTCTCTATACATCTAGAACACAGCTCAGTGGCGGAAAGACGGCCATCCCGCAGCCGAAGGGCGACCTGCAATAAATGGAAAATGAAATGAAAGGAAAGGAAAACATGACAAACTTCAAATCATGAAATAGTCTAAGGATTAGGGGGCCGTTTCTCAAAACCAACTCCATGACAGTCATATCTTTGTCGGCGACCTATGGAGATGTCATGAAGTGGATAAACCGTTTCACAAAGCCATGACAGACCTGATATTGATATATCGCAATACTAGCAGCTCAAGAACATAGTCTTTGTCACGATCCATTTGATTTATCAAGAATAACCCAAAACAAGTTTTGGGGCTAAAATTGTTCAAAAAGAAATATATACATATAAATTCTCCTAAAATAAATACTAAATAGTGTCATAATCAAATGTAGATCATCAAACAATTTGCAAATTTCTGTAAAGATTCTTAAATTGAAGAAAAACCGGTGTTTTTTTTTTTTGACAGTCGAATATAAGTTAGTTGAAGGATACTGAATGTGATAGTTTATCAATACGTACATTTTTGTTTATTGCGATGAGGAATTTTATGCAAAATACCTTTTCTCAGCCAGCTTTTATTCTAGAGTCTCTTAAATACTCGTTATATGATTGATTTGATATTGAAAATATAGTTTGGAAGAAGTAATTAGAGAGGGAATAAAAATGCACATAGACCCCAAAGGTATGACGGTATCCCAAGAAAAGACTATGGATCGACTATGGAAAACGGTGTGTAACATTCTTATCTCTCTTATTTATATGTTATGGTTTAATGATTTGTGATTTAATGTTTATATTCAGCTTTGAAAAAATTCTGTATAATTTGTATTATCACTTTTTTGCATTTGCATTTCGCATCCCAGAGAATTACGTACCGAACTCGTCTATATTTTTCTCAAAATGATAGTGAAACTAATCATACATTTTGCGGCCCATGGAATAGCAACAAACTGACATGTGATGGTGCTTTACAGCAATTAAAAAGATATGACGGGTTCGGAGCAGTGACAACTCATTGTCGCGGAAGTTGTCGCTCATCTTGGCAAAGACGGCTTCGTGAAACACTTTGCTGACAAGTTGCGTGACAGTGGCGAGATGTCGTTGATCTTGTAGTTATGACGGTTTCGAGAAACGGCCTCCTGATCTAGACTTAGCGTCTATTTTTCAACTTTAATCTGGACTTTATCACGTTTATGGAAGCAGGTCCACCGTGCAAAGCTCATGTTGCTGCATTAAAAGATCTTCTTGATTAAAATATATTTTGAAGTACAGACTCTAAAATAGGACTAGTCACAATTTACTCAGGCCCCTCGCCCCCCTCCCCCCATGACTGCCACGAACATATCATCACACTGATCACCTATTCTGATATTCACACAAATATTAAAACATGTGGGACTAAAGCAAAACAGTTATCGTTGCAAACAAACGTGCATTTAGAATATTACTAGCAAAAACTTCGTATTTACTTATATATAAACTATGTGAGAAATACATTTTCATAAAAAATTGGGGTTCGTATCTACCTCACGGATTGACAAACTGAGCATTTCCGTAAATTATCGGCAACTAGCTGGGACAATTTTAGTGGACAGATTAGAGCGTAGATGAAGTGGTACAGTCGCCTTATTGATTACTTTAGGACGATATGCCGTGCGCGCCTTCAATAATATACGCAAGGAGACATGGAGAATTCGCTGGTAATACAAATGTGCTGGTGATAAGACTACTAAATCGTTGCGTGATAAAGGGTTGTAAATCCCGATTTCGACCGAGAAAAGTTATCTGTACATTCTGTAGACAGAGAAAATGCCACGAATTCAGATAAAAGGTGGTGTTTGGAGGAACACTGAAGTGAGTGTTTTAATTTGTTATTATGATTTTGCCTCAAATTGTGTTAAATGAAAATAAAATCGGGTGATCTACAGAACTTCGAGTTCAGGATGCGACGCATGTATGATGTTGTACACCAAGCGTGTAATAGGAATGGGTAATGTGTATTTCAGGGTAGTGTAGAAATTCAAAGTGGAGGAGAGAAAAGGAAATGTATTATCAGTAATATGTTCTTCTATTCTATGATATTTTTCAATATTGGTTTCTTAACATGATCTGTTAGACTCTGTGAAGCGATATTTTGACAACCAGCATGACCAGGGCATTTTGTTTTATGCACATGCACAGCCTTTTCGCTGTTTTGTTTGAGCTTGGATGGTAATCTTTTTAAATGCAATTATGAAATAATAATAATAATAAAACCCAGTTTTTATAATCACTATTCACTTATTCACTTATTAGTGCTTCCAAATTTGGAGATTATTTATTACCCCGTCCCCGGTTTTAGCTGTGCTGCCATTACGCCTACGGCGCTCTAGCATTTCAAAGAATTAATTTCTGCCAGGTACCCGGTTATATCGCCTGGGTTTATTGTGGCAAATGAAGATCAATGTCTTGCCAAGGGACATTAGTACATGAGCAGGTCTCAAACCGCGGACCTCCTGATCGACAGTCCGGCGACTTAACCACTTGAGCATGGTGCTGGTCCGAGAATAAGGATCGTCCACATAAACGAGGATCGTCTTCCTAACGCGGACAGATGTGTCCGCAAAAATAAGAATCGTCTGCATTTTCGCTGACGATTCTGATTTCCGATCCGCGCGTTGAACCTAAAACCTGCAGAGCGCCGAAGAACAAAAAACGTCCGCGGAAATGCGGATGATCCTTATGTTTTAGGTAACCCTGTAAGTTGGGGCTTTGATCGGATTGGAAGATAAGAGCGACACCCTCGCACCTGTGATCGGTATCGGCAAACAAAATCGGCCAAATTTTCTTTTTCAATTTTTTTTTATTGCCGAAAAATTTCAAGTTTTTGGCTATCAAATGCTTTAAAAAAAATCTGATTATTTTGTCATTTGGAGTTGTTGTAGACCATGTCTATTTCATGACTTTGAAATTAATAATATTGGTCTTAGAGCAAAGGCAAAACATGCGGGCTGTCATCTTGGATTATAATGCATGCCTACATTATAATCCAAGATGCAGTATCAAAAGGGACAAACTATGTTGGAACAAGTGCAACAATGGATTACCCTTTTTAATCTTTTTCTTTACACCTACTAAGCTGTATGTATTGAGATAAATCAACTAATGTTTGTTAACTGATATTTTATTCCCCATTCACTTGTGTATTAGGATGAAATCCTCAAGGCAGCGGTGATGAAATATGGCAAAAATCAGTGGTCTAGAATTGCATCACTGCTACACAGGAAATCAGCTAAACAATGTAAAGCCAGATGGTAAGTTGTACCAGGGGGGAAAGTTTTTTCTTAACTGTCACAAAGTCCAAATTCAGGGACATTCATTTTTAAATGTGTGTTAATTTTAAATGGGTTTCAACAGAATGTCAACAAAATCAAACTTGAGATGGTATCGAGTAAGTGGCCTCAGAAATCTGAACTGCCAAACTTAACAAAGATCAGAAGACAGTTTAATGTTTAATCCAGCATTAGCCACAAGCCAGAATTTAGCTCCCAAGCCGGAAGTTGAAAACTGACCTTTCCAAGTTAGGGTTGAAAATTGAGATTTCTTGCTGGAATGGAGCTGGAATGAGTAAATGAATAAATGTAAGAAGGTTGTGAGATACTCACAGCTTGGAACTCATCTAAAACAGGGCCCTATGAATCTCAATTATATGTTGTTCCTATGTTCATATGTTGAAGCAAGATTGTTCATGTGCATATAAACAATTATCCTATATGGACACAATAAAGAAATGAAATGAAATCTGAGAGTTTCTTGATATTTGAAACAAGAAGTTAAAATTGCAGTTATAATCATTTAGTCACTATCAATTAAAAGTAGAATTGCAATAGCTGTGCCTGGATGTCGAATTGTGAAAGTATTATTCTGAAGCAGAGATGTATCTTTAATGTATTGAAGAAAAATTTGTTTTTATTTGAGTGGGCTTTACTCATAAAGGAACAAAAATGTTTTGACACAAATTAAAAAAGACTGACCTCTCTGGAGAAGTTGCCTCTCAAGCATAAGTTATATTTAGTTCTCAGTCCTTCTTTTGATGAAAATGTCCACTAAAACAGAGATTGAATGTTTGACTGTCGTTTCATGTCAGGTTTGAATGGCTGGATCCAAGCATCAAGAAGACAGAATGGGGCCGAGAGGAAGACGAGAAGCTACTCCATTTGGCTAAGCTCATGCCCACCCAATGGAGGACCATTGCACCCATCGTAGGACGTACAGCAGCACAGTGTCTGGAGAGATATGAAATCTTACTGTAAGTTATGACATTGCAAAAACGTAATCCTTCAAACTGATCTCATAATCTGTAAATGCTGTGTGCACTTATTACCACTGGTATGCTACAAGGCAAATTTCACTAAGTTGCATTAAGCATTACAAATAAATGACCTCTGCTTTAAAAAGAACTCTGCCATTGACTTGATTTGCAAACATACAAATGCTATAACCTTTATAAGACTGATCGATTTTTTATACAACAGTATTCAACTGGGATGCTAACTAAGCAAGGGGATATGATTTTACATTTTAACAATGACTTAGCATACCTGCCAACCACCCCGATTTAGGTGTGGGTTCCTCCGCATTTTTCATACCAACTCCGAATTCCGAGTTCATGCCTCAAAACTCAGATTTTTTAAAATTTTAAAATATTTTTAAAACAAACGACTGTTGCATAAGACTAAAGCATAACACAGCACTGATAACCAGATCACGCCGACATCCGCGCTCGCGCTCATAGAAGATATACACAGCGCAGCCCGAACGTGATCGTTAGTTCCGCAGTCATTATCCATGTACTGCATGTACTAGTAATAAATAATAATAAAGTGTGTGTGGACGTTGTACTAATACATACACTACATTGGCGTGTTTTCTTCAATGCTTGTGCGATGACTGCGATCGTGGAAGCTTGTTATTTACCGGACTTCCTCGGATTTATTTTGGATTACTACAACTATATTCTTCTTCTTCGTTGATTTCTCCATTTTTGAAGGACAAAATGGGTAAGACTCGTGCTGTTCATAATCAGAAGTATAAGAAAGAATACGGGAAACAATTTCCAGTTGCAGAATCAGCACTCGGACTTCAACACGCATTTTGCATTGTGTGTTCGACCGACTTCAGTATCAACCATGGGGGAATGAATGACATTCAGAAACATTTGCACCATTAAAATGGAGAGAAAAAAAAATAGACCCTAAAGTCCTGTGTACCCCCCCCCCCCCCCAATCTACGGGCTACTACCCCAATCCTTCGGTGGTTCGCGACCTCGTAGTCCATCCAGAAAAATTTACTCCTAATTTCTCGTCTCAGGTTGGCAGGTATGACTTAGTAGCATTATTGTAGAGCACTTAGAGACTTAATAATAAAAAATAATAATAGTGAACATTTATAATGCGCCATGTCTGTCAAAAATGACACTCCTGGCGCTGATAAAGTAAGTGTTAGGCGCTATATAAGCAAGGATTATTATAATTAGTTTGGAGCCGTGGATCTCCTAGTTCCAAGACTTGTATTCAAGATTTGTCATATGTCCAGTCAACCTGTCTGTAGCGACCGCCCAAAGGAAACATAAAGAGTGGTCCTTGTAGACAGGTGGTCTTTGTAGACAGGTTCCTTAAGTACATGTTTCAATGAGAAACCAATTTCAAGGGAAACGTCACCATCCGAAAGACGTGACTCAGTTTCGAACCTGTGTCCTCGGCTGAATCAGTTTGTAACTTCCACTTTTTAGCTGGATTACAGGCGCACGCCACAACGCAGGTTTGACTGTATTAGCCTCTATCAAGCCACAGAGACCATATTTCCAACGCCAGTTTTAAGAACCGTTTGTTGATATGATTGAATTGAGCAGGGATCAAGCACAGAAGAAGGAGGCTGATGGTGAGACCATGGATGATCCTAGGAAGCTCAAACCAGGAGAGATAGACCCTAATCCAGAGACCAAACCAGCTAGACCTGATCCTATTGATATGGATGAAGATGGTTAGTAGAGAGGGATATAGAGAGTAAGATGATATCAAACTTATCCCTGAAACCAGGAGAGATAGACCCTAATCCAGAGACCAAACCAGCTAGACCTGATCCTATTGATATGGATGAAGACGGTTAGACTTACATACAGAAATATACAAATCAAGATGATGAATAATTCTTAATGTTGAAGTGGTGTGATTTGTGTCAAAACATTTTGCTTATCCACTAGGATAGCACATTATTTATATGGCACTAGACTTATCTTGTTGATTTATCTTGGTATATTTAGGAACTTGCCAAATTTCCTCTTCAAAGTAGTGGGACTCAGACTAATTCAAATTTAACATTTTCTTCAATAAGAGCAAGTAGAATGTATTTTTTTAAATGCCTACTTTACTTTTCTCAATGTAGATATACTAGCTATCAGAAGTGTTTTAAATGAGAACGTGCATGCATGTGTGAAATTAGATTTGTTGCCATGTGTTACCCCCTTGGTCCATTCTCACACTCTCCACACAGAGCTTGAGATGTTATCTGAAGCGCGTGCTCGTCTGGCCAACACCCAGGGTAAGAAGGCTAAGCGGAAGGCTCGTGAGAAGCAGCTTGAGGAAGCCCGTCGTCTGGCAGCTCTTCAGAAGCGCAGGGAACTCCGAGCGGCCGGTATCGAGGTCAACAAGAAGAGGCGTAAGAAGCGAGGAGTGGATTACAATGCTGAGATTCCGTTTGAGAAGAAGCCAGCACCAGGGTTTTACAACACGGCGGATGAAGCAGTAGCTCCACATAATCCAAACTTCAAGCGGCTCAGGAGGGAGGATATGGACTTTGCTCGAAGGGATGAGATTGAAGAGGTACTCTCAGGGCTTCCTTAATGTTATGGAGAAGCGTTAGTTTTGGGTGAATCGACAGTACCTGACTTTAAAATGCCTGCCCAAATTTTGAATTTCAACAGCTATTAGTTTACTTATTAATTTCAAATTTATGATCTTGCAATAACATCAACAGAATGTAATAATACTCATGTGCAATCAGGAATGGTTTTGCAAATAAGTAATATAACTACTTTTACCATTATAGATTAAAAATGTATTAGTAGTTTAGATTCATATATTTGGTTCCATAGATTCATACACGATTGCACATTTCATTCTTTATCTGTTTGTATCAGAGATATCAGTTAGGAGAATGCATTTACATTTTTTATTTTCAATGACATTTTGGTCTCTGTTGAGCTAGTTATATTTACATTTCAATAACAGAAATCTAAACACATACATATGTTATACAAATAGATTTTGTTGTAAACACTTTTTATTTCACTTTTGTGTATTCCATTTCCATGACAGAAAGAACGAAAGAAGGATAGACAGAAATTGAAGAAGAGGAAAGAGAATGATTTACCTGGAGCCATTGCTATGACAAACAAGTAAGTTTGAAGCTCATTGGCTACATAAATGATAAGATATTTGTTTACCAAGATGTTGTAGGGAGATCATACCACAGTATGAAGTTTTTCCAAAGTTAGTAGCAGATGGACTTTTCACAATTTTGAATAACCTCAAATGAATTTTTCTTTGCTTGCCTTTTTGTGAATCACAGCTAAGTCATGATACTGTTATATGGTTTCCTTTTAAGAATGAATTTCCGAAAGATATGGCACATAAAGCATTTTTTATCAAATGATAGCCTAGTCCGTGATATGACTCTGTACATAATATCGAAAGTCACTGACAAGTTTCTTTGCTTTTTTATGATAGGATGGCTGAGCCAATGAAGAAGAGAAGTAAACTTGTCTTACCTACACCACAGATATCTGATGCTGAGTTAGAAGAGGTTAGTGCTGACAAACTTGTTATACTGAGAAATTCATGTACATGTAGTACATGCTAAATGTATTTTAATGTTGGTGGAGTTATAGAACTAGAAACCAGTTTATATTTGTAGGTATCCTATGGAGATACATCTTTGGGGAAGCATGGTTTGCCCTGAAAAATATGTGCTCTTGAGTAGTAAAATATGATGTATTAGATGGAATGAAAAGTGAATCCTTATATTTTGTGTGATGTAGGTTGTGAAGCTTGGGCAAGCCAGTGAGAATGCTCGTCAGATCGCTGAGGAAGGGGCTGTTAATGGTGCATCAGATGCTCTCCTCTCAGACTACACCATGACTCCAGGAACGGCTAATCTGAGAACACCTCGCACCCCTGCTACACATGACACAGTACTTCAGGTATTAATAATAATAATAAGTATGATAATAATCTTTTAAAGTCCACTCCAAACAAGGTAGCAGCAACTCCCATCTTTTAACGTCTTTTCATATTACAGTGGTCTTATTGATTTTGTACTCTGTCATATACCCAAGAGAAACTGATTAAACCAACACCAGATTGACAATTCAATTCCATCTTTGTTTTTAAAAAAAATGTACAAACATGCAGTGATCAAACTAAACAATACTTTACTCCAAATGGACAAGTTGTTGTCGATCGTCAGTTGATATTTGACTCAAATTGGTGGTTTGACTAATAAGATGCATACCTTGTAATGGTATCAGAGCTGACCCCTATGCCCTGTTTGACTCACAACAGAATAATTTGGGTGTACATTTCTTTCTTCATGGTAATGCCCGTCAAGTGAACATGGCACATTGCTCCGCTCTTAGGAAGGATGCACATCCATATATCCTTGAATTTGTATGAAATAGTTGCATTGTTTAATCTCTGCTCTGTAAAAATGGCCCAATGAACCATTGAACTCAAGGAAGTTGAAATGCCCTTTGAGAGAGATGGAAAGATATTTATTATTTCCTTCTCGTAAACTAATGGGGCATTGCAAGAACGTTGCAATTGATAACTGATATTTGTGATCGATTGCAACGCCCCACTAATCTCCTAAATTTCCTAGGATTTTGTTAGGATTAAAGTTTTAACAATTAAGTTAAGTTAAATGGCTTTTATTCTCCCCCCCCCCCCCCCCCTCTCTCTTACTAATGGGGCGTGCAAGAAAGTTGAGTTGCGATCAATTGCAACTATGCAATTAATTGCAAGACTTATGCTTGATTTTTGGGATTTGCAATTGATTGCAACTTTCTTGCAACGCCCCATAAGTGTTATAGTTTTGTATAAAGGATACATACATGCACAACCATTGATATATCTTTGTATTGAAATTTGATTCTCTGTTCAGGAGGCCCAGAACATCCTTGCACTGCAGAACGTTTTGTATAAAGTATACATACATGCACAACCATTGATATATCTTTGTATTGTTATTTGATTCACTGTTCAGGAGGCCCAGAACATCCTTGCACTGCAGAACGTTTTGTATAAAGGATACATACATGCACAACCATTGATATATCTTTGTATTGTTATTTGATTCTGTGTTCAGGAGGCCCAGAACATCCTTGCACTGCAGAACGTTGAGACACCATTGAAAGGAGGTGTAAACACAGCCGTAGGAAGCAGTGATTTTGATGGTATCACACCTAAGAGACAAGCTACACAGACACCTAACATGGCATTCAATACACCATTCAGAACACCAGGTCATGAGGGACAATCAGGTAAGCTAACAATTAATACCTCATTCACAGTATCACACCTAAGAGACAAGCTACACAGACACCTAACATGGCATTCAATACACCATTCAGAACACCAGGTCATGAAGGACAATCAGGTAAGCTAACAATTAATACCTCATTCACAGTATCACACCTAAGAGACAAGCTACACAGACACCTAACATGGCATTCAATACACCATTCAGAACACCAGGTCATGAGGGACAATCAGGTAAGCTAACTGGTAAAAGATGGACAACAGACCAAACAATAAATTACAGTACACTTTAAGATCAGTTTGGAGTTTGTTTGGTGATGCGACAGAGGTTTGAAGACATTACTCATCCATTCATGTTCTTCATATCTCGTTCTAATGAAATTTGCTCAATTTTAATTTCTGCAGTTCACTTTGTGTGGATGATGCTCTTTAGTTTTCATACATTCCCAGCTAAGTTGAATTTCTTTGTCTTTTGTTTAAAAAAAAAACAAGACAATCCACCAAATGAATCCCCCTATTATGTAATCAATTTGACATTTTATTGTAATTATTTTCAAAGTGTGCTGACATATATTTATATATATATGATATACTGATAGTTATACATTGTGTCCGGGTAAACCTGATTCCGAAGACCGGGTATATATCTGTAAAGAGCTTTGAGAGGGCCTGCGGTCCTGAAAAGCGCTATATAAGAACGAACTACAGGGATGCCAATTTTCAGGCAATATCCTGAATTCAGGCCCTGGCAAGTTATTTTCAGACCATAGTTTTGGGGTACAAAATAGCTCATTCTAGGTGATTTTCAGGCCCTCTGATCAATTCTGACTGGCATCCCTGGAACTATTATTATTATAGTCAACATGACAACTAATATAAAAAGTAATAGTATGCTCTCAGAGAGAGAGAGAGAGAGAGAGAGAGAGTGAGAGAGAGAGGGTGAGAGGGTGAGAGGGGACAAGGAACAGGTAACCACCAGTATATCTTTCCTATCAGGTTTGACCCCTCGACTGACCCCTAGGATGGGTACAGGAGGAGGAGGAGGAGGAGCTACCCCTGGTCAGACCCCTCTCAGAGACAAGCTCAACATCAACCCGGAGGAAGCGCTCATGGAATATGATAACATACACAGTCTCAAACAACAACAGGTATGATAATACAGGCCTGATAATTACCCGATTTAGATTGGTTTCCCAATTTTTAAAATATTTTCCTGATTTTCTTTCCCAGATTTTTTTTCCCCCCTCAATTTTTATTTTTTTTAAACCAATTTTGTTTTTCTTTTTTTTTCCTCCCGAATAAACCCCCCCCCTTTTTTTTTAGTGCTCCCTATCACCCCTGAATAATAGTAATAATAATTCAACGATTGTGTATAGTGCATAACATGGGCATAATTGCATGTCTCTATGCGCTCCACAGAACAGAATACAGAAGGAGTGGCAATGGTGCACTGGGTTCATAATTATGAGAGTTTACAAAGTACTTGGTAATCATGTTTTCAAAGTACTTTTGAACATTTTGTATGTTTCTATATTTCTATGTTTCTGTATAAAACAGTGGCTCCATGTGGAAATGACCTTTACACATAAGATTTAATCATAGTTGTGGGACCTAAATAAAGATTTTTTTTACTGGAATGCAGTGTTCTTTCTGGTTTATACTGTATCAACGATTCAATGAGATATGATGGAGCAAACTGATGGAAACCTTGATAAGTTAATAATAGTAATATAAACTGGAAACGGGACTGGATGGGTAGCCAATCTAGACTAGGGATATTGATTCATGCACTGCACTGTATTATATCAGTTATTTCAAATTTAGATAAACCATATTCAATGAGAGTCGTGTTCACATTAATGAATAAGTGGATCAGGATCAAGCATGCACAGTATGAAATTGTCCAATCAGTTTATATGACCAACCGTTGTATACATACATTACCATTGATTTGGTGACATTTTTAAAATACCACATTGTTGTGAGTGAAGGATCAGTGATACTTTCCATGATGGAGATACAGCTGTATTGTAGGTAGATGTTCTAGTCCTTGTCCTTTTAGTGCTCACTATCACCCCTTTGTAACCCTGAAACTTGACCTAAAGACGACATTGTTTATTTCAGAGGGAGCTGAAGGCCAGTCTTCGTCGAGGTCTGTCATCACTTCCAGCTCCAAGGAATGACTTTGAGATCGTGATACCAGAAAATGATGAGAAGCTTTTAGAGGAGCCTCAGGAGAGCTCAAACTTCATGGAAGACGCATCAGATGTAGAGAATAGACGCCTTGCAAAGTTAGCTGAAGAGAGTAAGTCCCTCTCAAAGTTGGTATCTTTGATGTTAAAGCTGCGTTATACATATAAAGCTATTTTCGCAGTGGCAAAGGTTTCTGGTTGTCGTAGCTTAAGAAAGTTAGCTACATTTTCTTGAAAGACTGAGCAAAAGAATTCAAACATCACTTGGGTATGGACTCTGTTTATCTATGAAATGTAAGATTTTTTATAAATACCCATAGATGCTTTCATGACTTTTTGAAGAGTGCTGATGTTGAACCCTGTGAAGTGACTGGAATTTTTCACACATTTCTAAAATCACTTTGATGCCCACTTTTTGACATTTGCATTATATCAGCATTTTATATTCACAAAACACAACAAATTTGATCATTACATTAATCTAGTGGGCATTCATTGTACTTTGAGAAACTATTTGTATCTGTAATGTTGAATGTAATTATAGAAATACATTGGAATCTTGTTATAATGAGAACATTTAGACCATGAAAATTATGTTGTTATATCAGGTATTTGTTATATAAGGTTTACAACAACAACAAGAATGTGGTATAAAGAGCTGGGACCAGTGACATTTTCTTACAATGTCGGATACCTCAGTATATCAGGGTTCTTCATAACTAGCTTCCCTTGCTAACAATTGTTGACTGAAACATGATTCTAATGATCATGTGCATCTCTAATGCCTTTCTCTTTGCAGGAGAGAAGGAGTTGCGGAGTAGATCCCAGTCGCTCCAGAGAGGTCTTCCAAGGCCTGTGGATATCAACACAGCTATCCTGAGACCTAAGGATCTTGAGACTCCTATGACAGAGCTACAGAAGGTGAGCAAGAAATGGGGCCCTTATTAAATGAATGTCATACTATTATGGTTTGATAGACTGAAAGTACATATGTACGTATACTCAATTCAAATTATGTGATCCATGATGAGTTCTAAGTGCTAGTTTTTGCAAAATAACTAAGTGGGTGGGGGGGGGGGCACAAGTAGGGAATATTATTTACGAGTTGAAAATATTTATTTTATTTCACAAAGAATCAACACCATTATATTATTAGTTTTCAACCTTGAAGGAAAATGTTACAAATTAAAAACAGGTAAATGGTACTTTAAAGACTTTCAGTTCAATTCAATTTAATTTATTTCAACAATAAAAATACATATGCAATAATTCATGGAAATAATTCATGGAAATATAAAAACATGGGGTTAGGAGCCACTAAAAAAGTTTGAATACAAACTTGTGGTTGGGGCACTAACCATGACTTATATATATCAAGAAATTAACAAAAATAACATTAACGGGAAAACAAATATATACTAGAAAAAGATTATAAAGACATACAGTATATGTGAGCATAAGACATTTACAGCAAAGCACCAGCAATGAACGCACACAGGACAGGGTGTCAAGCGACACTGCGTCTCTATATGCGCCCTAGCTGGCGCTTTACAGTATTACAAAACATAACAAAAACTTTGAAATTCCATGAGAACTGTTTATTAGATATATCCATTATATCTACACTTTTGAAACTCCCTAAGCTCCTTCATATCTTGTAAGGATTGTGTATGTTGTTCTTGTTCCGTCTAGGCTGAGGAGATGATCAAGGAAGAGATGATAACGATGCTGCATTATGACTCGTTGAAGAACCCAGTAGGGGATCAACCAGGGGCCAAGAAGATTGAGAAGCCTTCTAGTAAGATCAACCCAGCTGTACATGCAGCGTACCTAGAGCAGACTCCATATCACCAGTATCAAGAGGAGGACATGAAGAATGTAAGTAGGCTCAGCCAATCAGGCAAAATGGATTCCATTTTTGTAGTAGATTAGTTAATTTAATTACTCATTATTTTTAAGTTTTATTTGAGGTGTTCACACTTGTACAATCATTGCTTTTTAGTGGACCCCTCTGTTTCCAACATGTATTTCTTACATTTGTTTTAAATGCTTATAATTGATTTGTAATGTTTTGTTGGAAATATGAATAAATTTGAAATTGAAATTGAAATTGAAATTGGTTTTTGGTTCTACAATACTACAAATTGTGCTGAACAATTTTGAGAGAAAATATATATGAAATAGTTGACTCCTTGCTTGGTCACTATCTGATGGGTCACTTTCTGCTTGGTCCTTTCTGATTAGCCTACAAAATAAGACAAGTACACACAATGCAATAATCTGGAGGCTTCCTATTTTCAAGTGTATACTTTTTGTTGTTCTCTTTTCTTGTTCAAATGTAATTATTTACGAACGTACAATCTGATGTTTTATTTGATGTTCAAGAATAAAATGATTTTAAATTGAATTGAATTTTTGAATAGATAACATACAGTGAAACCTTATACACAGACAGTTTGAGAGAGAGAGAGAAAAGGAGAAAGAAAGAGGGGATACAGATAACACAAAGCAGGATTGTGGTTCATTTTTAAAAGCATTCAAGGAATTAATTGTTTCTTTAGAGCCACAAGGGAGGGAATTCATAGACAGAGTAGTTCTGCCCTGTGCTTAAATCAGAATCTCTTTATGTGACTGAGAGTTGTGCTTTCAAGTGAATGTGATTTTCAACACTCAATTTTGTTAATTCTTTGTTAGTTAAAAACCCATGTATTGCAAGATTAATGATTCTGAATCAGTTTATGCCAGTTTTCTTTCAAAATGCAATTCTATTACCAGAACTCTAGAAGAGTTACAAGTCGTTACGGTATGTTTCTTCTTCAAAATTTATTAATGAACTATTATTAGGAATGCAAAAGATCATTCTGGTAGGAAAATGTACCTTCCCACTTGTTATGCTCTTGCATTACTTGTAGATATAATTATATTGTTTTGTTTTCGTTTTTTGTTTTACTTGTTTTTCTTTGTACAGGCCAATGAGTTATTAAAAGCTGAGATGGAAGTTGTGAAAGCTGGTATGTCTCACGGGGATCTCCCTAAAGAAGCCTACACCCAGGTGTGGGAGGAATGTCTGGGTCAGGTCCTCTACATACCATCTAAGAACAGATATACCAGAGCTAACATGGCCAGTAAGAAAGACAGGATTGAGTCTGCCGAGAAGAAACTTGAGGTATGTTATCCATTGAAAGAAACCTCTATGAAACTTGTGGTTTGTGAAGACAGTGTAAATTAAATTCTTTAATTTATGCTGATTGTTTTACCATTTATCTCAGAGGTGTCTTTATTTTGTGGCTCTCTCCTTAATAAAGGAATATAACTTACTCTTAATGTGCAAAGACGACTTAAAAGATATCTACCAAACGTTTTTGAAAGAAAATATAGCAAAGAAATATCTTGAAATCAAGCTGTGTGTCCACACAAAATGTCAAGCCCTGGAACACTCGGTTCTTATCTATACAATGTATATTGTGTTTCGTAGTAAATGAAATTTCCAGCATGTTGGTATTGTTTTGTTTACATTTTGCCCATCAACAACCCACCCACTGCATGATAAACTATATTAAGAATTTCTTTAATCTAATTTGACTGCCAGAACTCATGACAAGTCACACAAATTCTGTGAATCTTGATGTACACCCCCCTTTCTTTTTTCTTCTTTCTCTCTCCCTCTCTTTCCCCTTTTACCAACATTTGTTCTACCATATTCGTATTATGTATCCATTGAGGGTGGTCATGCTATCAAGCTTTGCTTACTTTGTCAACCCCCCTGTTTGATGTTTTCGATTAGTTACTTTATTCAACATTATATTCTTTTGAAATGTGTAAAATGTGCAATGTTTTGTTGTTATATATTTGTAAAAATTCAAAAGAAAAAGAAAATCAAACAGAAATAAATAAATCAAATCAAATCAAATCAAACTTGTGCTTAATTGAATGGTAGGGGGGAAGAAAGGGTATTTAAGCAAACAAAATGATCTACCTCATTTCAACCTTGATGTACATCTCTTTGATTTAGTCCAATCGTGGGGTGATGACGCGAGAAGCTAAGAAAGCTGCCAAGCTTGAGAAGAAGCTGAAGGTGTTACTTGGAGGCTACCAATCCCGAGCTCAAGGACTCACCAAACAGCTGGCTGAGGTCCAGGAGGAGGGGGAACAAGCCTATGTAGAACTCTGTACATTCCAGGAACTACAGATGAATGAAGAGATCGCTGTTCCAAGGAGGATGGAGGTGAGCTAGTTATACCTTACCTGGGACCCGTTTCACAAAGATCCTAAGTTGAATTTTAACCCCTTAGTTGGACTTAAAAATTATGGAGAGTCATTTGTAGCCTTGAAGTATTTTAGACTTTTCATAAATTCCGCATCAAGAACATGAAATCTCCTTAATAATAGAAAATATGCCTTTTTAAATAACTTTTACAAAATATTTTCATTGATGCTAACGGCTTTCAATAATTATTAAGTCCAACTAAGAGTTAGGTTTGACTTAGGATCTTTGTAAAACACCCCCCAGATTCACTCAATTTAATGATGTGAAATACCCAAATGACAACATTACGTTGTATGTAATTCACAAAAGTTTCCTGCTTTGTTATCAACTGTCATCAAGAATTATGAAGTCTCAAGCATGGTGCTGTCTTGGCCAATGGCCATCGTGTGCACATCTGAATACAGTCCTTGGCTCTTTAGCTTTCCAATATCTTTTTCTCAGAGTAAAGATGATCAAATGCTCTAGAAAGAGACATAAAAGGTTTCCTCTATTCATGGCAGTTCCATGTTCAATTTTGTATACAATATTAATTTTAGTACATAATTTAATACTTATGTGTACAAGCATGTGACTTAAATATTATTATCGTTGGTTTCAATTACAATCAAGGATAAGTGTGCACGTTTTTCATTTTAAAAACATGTTTGTATTTTATGTGTACTTCCTTATAACGTTTGCCGGCTGGCAGAAGGGCGTTAACACGCAAGCGACTCAAAAACTACTTTTCAAATTATCCGCATTTAAAGATTTGTTTTATATTTAAACTGCTTTTCGTCCTGAAAATTGGTTTAAAACTTTAAAGACTAATAGAAATGTTATAGTAGAACACGGCCACAATTTTTTTCTCTATAGGTCAGTTTTATAAAAGTTTGAGGCGATTTAGTGCTAACGTCCTTCTGCTTAACGCTTCATTCTTTACCTGAAATTCGAGCTAATGCCCTTCTGCCCGCCAGGCGACGATATTATCATTATAACTGACTGATTTCTGTGTTTGCTTTTCAGTCCTTGAGAGAAGATGTGAAGCGTCAGAGTGACCGAGAGAGGGAGCTCCAACAACGCTACTCTGATCTCATGTTTGATAGAGAGATGCTCAGCACACAGATAACCAAACTGGAGATGCAACAAGCAGGACCCAAGTTCTAATCTGAAGATGAGAGATGCTAAGCACACAGATTACCAAACTGGAGATGCAACAAGCAGGACTTACGTTGTAATTTCAAGATCGTGAAATTACAGATAAACCCATTTTCTTGTGAAATTCTTGAGAATTTTGGAAGAGCAGATAAATCAAGAGTTAAAGGGGGTATAGCATGACAAGACTATGTGTCTTTCCTGTGGCCTGACTCAGGGCCAATTGGGTGTAATATGACTACGGACGACGCGACTGCAGTAACCGAAGCATGAGGAGAACTTTGGTCTGTTTCGCGAACGCTAGCGCGTGCTGACTGTTAATCAAGTCCATTCATTTACGTGCAGTTGTCCAAAAGAAGTCGTAGATGGTGTTAACCAGTATTTGTCATGCTACACCCCCTTTAAGTACTGCTTAGCCACTCACCCCTTTTTATGAATAAAAGAGAGAGAAGAAATAGGATAGTTCACTCAGTATTGTGTTTGGAAAATCGTTCACAAATAACATCTCCTTTTATACATCACAGATCTCTTTGTAAGCTCAATGTTTAAATCATTTTGATTGCGGTATTTGGTAAATTTTAAATAATCCATTTCAGTTATTCTGAGTTTATTTTCTGCATTTACTTGGAGTTTTATCATTGAGACCATGAGATATGAAGAACTTCTCTCATCAATGCCTGTGCTGTATTAGTAATTGCACATAGTATGAAGTATTGCAGTTATTGACCTGTCATGTCATGCTGTTACCAGGCTGTTAGCATTGTATGCAAGATATCTACAAGTGCAAGAGATAATCAGTATTTTTATCTTCAAATTGTGCATGGACAATAATTACATGTAGTATTAAAGGTATACCGGTAGACCAGTTCTGGTCATGCGATTGCATTGTGAAAGAAACGTTGTGGAATCGATCATCTAGCATATAAGTATTGGGTGTTCTGGAATCATCAAAATGTTAAGGAATTAGGCCCAGTCTTGGTAAAGTTACAAGCACTGTACACAGAAATATGTATATGGGACTGCGGTAATATCTATCCAGTCCGGATAGATATAATAATTTACCAAATATATCAATTAGTAGGCGGTTTCCGGCAAAATTTGTGTCATCACGTATTAGTCAAAACATATTCTTTCACATGATTGGTAATAAAAACCTTTCATTTCATTTTTTGAGAGGGCGTTTCCAAAACTGGGTCTTTATCTTTAAATGAATAGTATTGAGATCACATCTGACACACTGTCATACAGGAAGCAATTTAAATCATCCAAATTGTGATTCTTTTGGATGACAGCTCTTGAGATTGTGTAAGCATTTCATGCGTGTCAGGTCAAAGCAATTAGCTTCACCATTTTGTAATTTATCCCTTTTCCTGTTATGATGAAAACAGAAGGGAGTGTTATTTGTTAGAAATAATTAATCAACATCAGAAGTTTTGTAATAAAAACAATGAAAGGTTGTAAAAGTACAGTCTTGTAAAGGTTAGTGATATGGTTATGCTGATTGTACATAAAGTATCGAGAGCAATTGATTATGTGCAGAAATAAATTTTGACATGAATGGTCAGATTGTACAAAGGATTTGAATTTAATTTGCACTGAGCATTATTTTTCTGTGAAATTGTGTACTTGTTTACACACGATACAATGTAGAGATAGGCAGAGAGAGCAAGAGAGAGAAAAGCGAAGAAAAGAAGAGAGAGACACACACAGAGGGAAATAAATAAATAAAGGGGTGGAGATGAGAGACAAAGAGGGGGGGGGGGGGGGGGGAGATAATATAGAGAAAATGAATGACACAGAAAGTAAGAGAAATTTAGTGAATGGTAAGCAACTCGAAAGCTACTTTTCAAATTATTCACATTTAAAGATTTGTTTTATAATTAAATTGCTTTCCGTCCTGAAAATTGGTTTAAAACATAAAAGACTAATAGAAACGTTATAATAGAACACGGCCACATTTTTTGTGTGGCGATTTAGTGCTAACGCCCTTCTGCTTAAAGTTTCATTTTTGACCTGAAATTGGAGCTAACGCCCTTCTGCCACCCAGGCGACGATGTATATTAATCTTTGACTGGATAAACTACTCCCCCAAACTTATTTCAAAACAGGATCTGGGGTGACACATTACTTAAATTATGATTAATAGAAATAAATGGACAAAATATTTCTGAGTATCCAATACACAGCATTATACATTTCATAAAGCGTTTATTGGTGTTTGTACAAATGACATATGATACACATATAAGTAATAACATAAACAATTAAAATATGTATGATGATATATGAACAAAATATTTTCTGTGACAAATGTCTTTTTTGTAATACATTAGTTACAACATGGTTCTTCCTGCACTAAAAATGTATGTGGTATAGTTTGTATATACATCTGTTACTATTACATGTACATAATATGCAAGATGATGAGAAAAATGAAGTATTTCAAGACCACTTTCCTATTTATCTTCAGGTTTCCTACAAACACAGTTCCAGCTCCCTTGAACCCTCCTCTATGAACATTTCTCCCTCTCTTTCAGACAATGTTAAGAATTCTGAATTATGGTCAACTACTTTCATATGGATCAAAATCCAGAATCCTTGCACCAAACATGGCACATAAGATGATGACTTTTATGTTTCATCAGTTTGCCATCAAAGGTCCAGTAGGTGTTTCATTCCAAGGGGAATTGCTAATTTGACTGCCTTTCTAGCTCTCTGTAGATACATTCTGATATTATACAAAAGAATGTTAATAGAAACTAATAATAGTAACCAACCAAATAACCCCAATAATAGTTGTATACGATTAATCAAAATGGTTTTGACAGCCAATTGGGATGGTTGTATTAGCATCAATTTCTCCATTATTTAGAAAAAACAAGACTAATAATAATAATAATAAATTCAAAAAGGTCACTGCATTTATACTGAAAATCATACTTTCTGGAATTCATGAGTCATTATAAAAGTTGATTTTTACCTTCTCAATTGATCAAAGAACAGTTTTAAGTTAAATGAGATGGAACATCAAAAAAATGAAAACATACAAGGAAATAAAATGATACTGCAGGTAAAAATAATATAGCATTATATAGTGTCATCTTGATTCCTCTTATTTACACAATGTATTAACCTGACACAAACTTGCAAAAAAAACATGAATGTTCATCTATATAATGTGAGAATGTTGTTGTGAAGTTCATCAAATCTATCTGGATAACAGGAAAGACGTTACTATCTTAAATGATCGCTTTAGGAGTGCTTTCATAAACATCTAAAGTCATGCGACAGTTTATATATACATCTTCCTTGATTTCTATATTATGGTCATCAGTTCTGCTATACACTATACACTGGGCACCAGAAGAACGTTGATTGAATGAAGTGATATCCAGTAAACAACCTTCTTTCTCCCAGCAGATGATATATTTGTGGTCTCTAGTCTTATACTTGCTCTGTGCATTGTCTTGCCATTAAATTGGATCAATCGCAATGGTTGGTAAAATTGGATCCAGGTGTAATTCATCTGTCATAAAATAAAGAAAGGACCCAGTATCACAAGTCCCAGAGACAGTGTCGTACTTTCCAGTCTTTCATCCATTTTCATCAGTTACAATAGTAGCTGTTTGGGTTATCAGCCTTTCTAAAGGTGTTGACGTTATTGAACTACACATAGAGGATCCTGTCGAGTGAATTCTAACAGGCGATTGACAACAACAGAGAGAGAGCAGACTTTACTACTTTGCTGATATTTATGATAAATGAAGTCTGTCTAAATATCACCATGGGAAACCTACAGACATTTAAAAGGCTTCTTTCCTCTAGTCCATGTGTCATGCTGAAAGTCTGAAGCTGTTTTGTCTTGTCACTATACAGCTGTTCCCCTCTCCAGATTCTGTTTGATCTCTGCAGTGTACTTGCCATAGAAGCGTTCAATCTTCTTGTTGAATCTCATGTTACGCTCATTGATGTAATCCACATCATCCTCCTCATTGAATGCTCGTCTCCTACTGTACTTGTTTCTCTTTTCAATCCTAACGAGAAAAAAAAGGTGAAAATAAATTAAGTCCACTGTCATGTACATGTAAATGCCCGGTATCAAGGTCTTTCAAAATGTCTGTGAGAAGTATTTTGATTCATGAAAATTCTGTTTAAGATTATAATATATCCAACTCCAAAATGCAACATTATAAATTGAAATCCCTGAAAAAATTACATTCTCTTTTTTCTCATATCACATTCATCCCCTCTTTCTCTCTGTCATCACTACTGCTCTCTTTATATTTATTTATTCATTCATAACATGATAATCATGTCTTTCTCTCTTTATTGTCTCTTGCTGTTTACCTTACTTCAATTTCTTCCTTTCCTTGGGGGGGGGGGGGGGGGGGGGGGGTGTTTCACAAAGACTAAGATCGACTTTAAGTTGGACTTGGCTACGGCAGGCCTTTCGTGCCCGTTTGCTCTCATCATTATGATCTTTAGATAATATTTCTTCCTTCAATAATGAATTATCAAAAAACAGAAATTCTGTAGATTTGTGACCATGATTTGTAAGTCCCTTGAGAGACTAATGCCAGTAAATGGTGAGAGCAAACAGAGGCATAAACGGCCTGCCATAGTAAGATAAACTTAAAGTCGATCTTAACTCTTAGTTGGACTTAAAAATTATGGAGAGCCATTTGTAGCCTTGAAATAAAATATATTCAAAAGTGAAAATTCTAGTATTTTAGACTTTTTATAAATTCCACATCAAGAACATAAAATCTTCTTGATAACAGAAATATGTATGATTTGAATCAACATTTTATGCCTTTTAAAATAACTTTTACAAAATATTTCCATAATTGTTAAGTCCAACTTAGAGATAAGTTCAACTAAGGATCTTTGTGAAACACCCCCCCCCCCCAAGTCTCTTTCTCCAACAAGTCGATTAAAAAAGATAAAACTTGTAAAATATGTGTGATAGAATTGTGGCAGACTCACTGTTTGTCGAGGTCTTCGACCATCCTATTGATACCTTCCTCTGTATCCTTGAAGTCCACCTGAGTGAGAGTATCTTGATCTGGGTAGATATCATCTCCTAGCTTCTCCTTCTGTCTCTCATACCCATCAAGGTCTGGTTTCATCTGCTTCGTTAGACGCTGGTACTGACGGAACGTCGCCTGCTCATAGTCTGGTACGAAAGAAGATTTCAACTTACAATCAATCATGAAAATCTATTGCATCTACAATCCTGCAGCAATTAATTGGACCTTACCATGCATGTTATCTACCTGTAATATCAAATTGATCCTAATTTACTATTGAAGATAAAGGTGAGTTTTGGTAATGCGATTGCATTGTGAAAGAAATTGTGTGGAATTGATCAGAAAAGGTTGATCATCTAGCATGTAAGTATTGGTGTGTACTGCAAAGTTCTGGAGTCATCAAAATCATCAATATGGGGAGATCTAAGGAAGATATAATTAGTTGTAACTTTCTTGGTTCCAGGGCTCCGTACAGGGCCAGAAGGGCTTAAGCTCAGTGAAGTACAAGAGTTGGCATAATTCTGGCTTATTGCAGAAGATACAAAGAAAGGGTGCACTAAATAAACAGAATTGCAAAATTATATGCTAAAAATCAAGCAAACTGATTGCTACTGACTAATGAATTATCATCAGTGATTTCAAAAGTTGTCTAAGAGTGGACCAGGAAGATGAAGGAGTCAAGATAGAGAGACAAAGTGACAGAAAAGGTATTATAAGTCAGAGAAAGAGAGAGAGAGAGAGGAGATAGAAAGATAAACAGAGAGAGAGAGAGAGAGAGGGTGAGAGAGAGAAAGAGAGAGAGAGAGAAAGAAGAGGGGAGAGAGACAGTGAGAGAGAGAGGAATGAGAGAGAGAGAGAGAAGAGAGAGAGAGAGAGAGAAAGAGAGAGAGAGAGAAGATGAGGGGGGAGAGGGGGGGGGGGGGGGGGGGGGGGGGGGGGGGGGGGGGGGGGGGGGGGGGGGGGGGGGGGGGGGGGGGGGTGGGGGGGGGGGGGGGGGGGGGGGGGGGGGGGGGGGGGGGGGGGGGGGGGGGGGGGGGGGGGGGGGGGGGGGGGGGGGGGGGGGGGGGGGGGGGGGGGGGGGGGAGAGGGGGAGAGAGAGAAACAAACGGGAAAGGTGACAGACCAATCAAACAGTGAAATAATGTGACTTACCTGCAAATCCTTGGTCAGGATTCTTCTTCTTTCTCTTCCTCTCAAACCTCTCTGCCTCCTCAGCTGACATGTTCAACATCTTCACTCTCTCATAGTCTTCTCCTCGAGCTTCCGCTTGCTAGGATAGGAAAAAAAAGAGAGTAAATAAGACTAATGTATGATCAAGCTTGATACTAGCCTTTAAATTTCTTCAAGTACCAACAAAGGCATTAAAATTTATATTTATATAAATAGCTCATACTGGTAATAAAGACAATAAAATGTGACCAGAATAGAATCTGTGATTAAATGTTTAAATCTAACTGGGGGAATACAATGCCATGTTAACATTAATGCATCGCATCATTCACATCTTTTATTACATCCTGGATTGACATGTTCTAGTAGAAATGAATGTCTTATGCCCCTCATTTTATACAAAAGATAAAGACATATATCTCTGTTACAAAGCCAAAATATTTAGCACGGACAGAGAGTATGCAAGTCCTGATGAAGCTTTTCTTTTTAACTATAGAAGGTGTATGTATATATGGTAGAGCTGTATCTTACACAATACATCAAAATATTACTTGACTTCAAAGAGGCATGCTTTTAAGGACCTTAATAAGAAGGACCTTAATGTGACCTAGAGCAGTTGTTTCCTTCATATAATGTGAAGATAGTTGAAATGGATCCAAATTAGCATGGCAACATTCGATAAAGACTGTTCTAAATAAAAGTTATAAACTGGAAGAGAGATGTGATGGTCATAGTGACTATATGCTTTTTTTTTTACCCTTCTGAGACACAGGTGAGGCCAACTACACATAGACAGGAAATAATTTTCCTGGTATCGCATCGCAATTTGCTATGCATTTTTGCATGACTGCTATACAAAATATCTTTTGTGTAGCAGTTTTCTTCCATAGAAATGTACAGAATTTCATTTGAAATATTCATCCATCGCCTGAAATTGCTAATCAAAAAATTTGAGGAAAATTATTCCCTGCATAGAGAACATTTACCTTTCTCTCTTCTTCATCTTGTAGAATCCATTCATTCCTTCTCTTTTGCGCTTCATGGTTTGCAGGAAGTTTGTTTCTTCTGTCCTCCTCAACAAGCTCTACATGGTTCAGCTTTCTGGCTTCATTCTTAGAACGATCAATAAATCAATATTGTATGAAGGCAAGACAGTGGAAAAAGTTATTGAAGGTGTCTTCATGACCATCTACGAAATTACATGTGACATTTTCTGAGGTCAGAGCTAGATTTGTGTTATAAGTACAATCAATATGGCTGGCCAAGTAGAAATGAAAATGAACAGTTTGTATCCTCCAGGGTAGTTAAAATGGAATATACTATTATATGTAGGTAATAAACATTTTACAACAAACCTTTTATTTCAAAAAAAATAATACGAATACCGGTAGGTGATATAAATGAATATAAAAATCCTGCCATTAAAATGTTATCTTCATTAATTTAATGGGTCTCTGACAAAGGAACAATTTTTTTCTTCTTTTTAATCTTAGCCTTGCACATGTTCTCCATGGCAATGATGACACAGGTTGTGTGAATCAATCTACTTGAAATATTTGCCCTACATATACATGTATATTTATACGGTATAAAGAATTGAAATAAATAATATAAATAATTTATGTGAATACTGCAGATACATGTATTGAATGTGATATTGATTCTCACCCTTTTGAGATGAAGGTTCTTGAGTCTGTTCATTCGATCAAACTTTTTCATTGCCTCTGACTTGAACCCTGACTTGACCCCTGACCCCGATGCTGACCCCTCAGGTTTGCTTGAGGAACTGGATGGAACATCCTTGGTCTATATAAAAACAAACAAAATACAATATGTCTTACAATAGCATTATCTGTTGGGATTACTCAAAATATCACAAGTATTGTCTGGGATGCCTTTTATTAATATTGAAACAAATCAATAAATTCATAAAAAAATTAAAAATCAACAGATGCCAAGATAATCCAGATCCTAGCATCTTGGTCTCATTCAATGACAATGTTTGCAGCCTCACATGCAATGCAAGAGTGCTGACGAGTTTGTAATGACGTTATCACAGTTTTTCCTTAATAATCCTTTTGCCTTGCACGTAGACTAGAAGGGATGAAATTTAGATGACGTCATGCGCAGCGATAGTTTAAAATACGGCTGCAATATTTTCAACATGAATGTCGATTTTGACCCATAATTTCCTGAAAATGGACCATTAAACGGATTTATTCAGTCAAGTTGTTAAGTGGAATCAGTGTAGAGGTCTAGATGTATTATAGCCTAGATCTAGGCCTAGTCTAATTTACAAATTAAAATAAATTGAATAGATTCTATCAGTATCATCTATGCATCCGGTAAAATATCAAAATTAGGCATTAGTTTGGCCAAGTTTGGTGTACAAAAACGTTACACCGAACGTGAGCACTTACGCCTATGGTCAGATGGTCGGCTTCTGCAAGTTCTGGCTCTAAAGAGAGGAGCCGACCCTTCCCAATCAGAGGCTAGCAAACGAAAGAGACAGAAAATTCTGGCTAGGAAGTAGGAGTAGTCTAGATTCTAGGAATGCAAACAACTTTTCAATTGCTCTTTTGACCAAGATATTTTTAGAATTTGTCTTTGGCTTTGCCTTTGAGGCTTTGGGGAAAATAGAGAAAAACCTGGGCTTAATTGCAGAATACCCTACCATATCGTTAGTCTTCATATTATTAGCCGTAGGTATAGATTGTGATTTTATTATTTGTGATAACGGTGATACAGGTATTGAAGATTGTATAATGCAAGTGTTTGAATTCATTTGGTGGATGAAAAGTTGAATTTTACGCGGTTTTGTGCGTCATTGCAGCGCTGAATTTGGTGTGTTTGTCGCTAATTTGTGACAAATTAAGATGGCTTTCCTGATGGTATTTCATGCAAAATGTCTGTTATATTGATAAGCACTGATTCTTGTCCTTACCTTTGTCTTGTTTATTGTCTGTTATAGTCATTTAATAGATGAATTACTTGAATTCTAAGCACATTTCAGTAACACAAAATGTCCAGCCCGTACATAGTCCCACACACATATTTGTTTGTACCTTGTGCCCTCTCTCACACTGCTAGTCTGCTTTCTAAGACCCTATTAGATATTTTAATCAACAAGTAATGTCTCGTTCTAAAAATACAAAAGAAAAATAATAGTGTTGTGCTTTTGTAATCAACAAGTGATGTCTCGTTCTAAAAATACAAAAGAAAAATAATAGTTTTGTGCTTATAATAGTGGAATGTCTCATGCTAAAAATACAAAAGAAAAAAATTAGCTTTGTGCTTAGACTAGACTAGTATTGGTGGGTGGTCGATGGTCGTTGGTCGTTGGCCTCATTTTTAATATTTGGGAGTCCTTGGTCGATGGTCGTTGGTCGTTGGCTTCCTTTTTAATATTTGGGAGTCCTTGGTCGATGGTCGTTGGTCGTTGGCTCTTTTAAACAAATATGCCTCACTATTTGGTCGATGGTCGTTGGTCTCTTTTTCTAATATTTGTCAGACTGTTGGTCGATGGTCGTTGGACTCTTCCATTCAATAGTATTTGGTCGATGGTCGTTGGTTTCAATTTCTAATATATTTGTCAGACTGTTGGTCGATGGTCGTTGGAATTTGGCTTCTAGACCTAGACTCTAGAGTAGCGGCTCCGGTGTGCGGCCGTCCAGTGGGAATTGCCGATTTTATTTTTGATGCAATTACTCACAGAATACTTCAATACCGTCAATAGAGAGTTCATATATTTAGTTATTAAATAGAAGGCACAAATAACGTAACTGACCCACAGCGTGGTCAGTACTGTCCACTTTAGAAGACGTAAAAGTTGCCCGGTTTGCGGCCGTGCGTAACCCGGTTTGCGGCACGCGTACGTCACAAAGCTTTAAGCGCTACGTCACGATCAAAGCATATACCAAATTACTACGGGTAACCCAAATTCTCATGTTTATCTGTTGCTACGGTAAATTTTACAAGTTTTAAACAATTTCACCTTTTTACTGAATGGATCATCCCATACGGGGGTACGTACTACTAGAAACTATCGGGTCACAGCGGGTACACACATCAGCACACATACCATCATACACGATCTCGCATGTTATGTGTGTATTAACACCCCCCGCCGCAAACCAGAAAATCACGTAATTACGTGCCGGTTTGCGGCCACCCCATGCAACTGGCCATGCGGTGGCACAATCAAAATATCTGCGATAGGAGACAGACCACAGTCATCATACTTCCACAAAAACATCAAATTTCACCTCCAATCGGACAAATATCGGACAAATAGAGCTACAATATTGATCTAGTCATGCCTCGATCTCTTAACTTAAAAGTAAGCACCTGCTGGAATTTTCATCGCCGACTGGTGCCGTAGATTTCCGACATCGCTGACGGATACTCCGTACCGACAAGAGCATCTGCTACGGACGTTTTCGGCAGCGCAGAACTTACCGGGGAATCCACGGTAGGTTTCAATGATTATTATCGAGTCATTTTGATTTTATTTTGAAAAGTGATACCCCTGGCCGCAAACCGGGCTATGCCGCAAACCGGAGACTCTACTCTAGTTCTAGACTATATTTCTAATATTTGTCAGACTGTTATAGACTAGTTCTAGATCTAATTCTGTAAAACCGTGGTAGGGTATTCTGCAATTGTTCCAAAACCTGCTCTATGACACCTCATTTATTGAGTTTCACCTTCAGAATCACGAGCGATAAAGGTTTGAATTTTAATTTGTTCATAAAATCATTGACCTATTTTGCATGATCGCGCAATGCGCACGTAGACTGCATAGGTATGCGTGCAATCTCTATGGGAAGGATTTTAGCACACAACATCGGGTGCGCGATCAGACACCCTTTGTTGTTGTTGTTAGTTTGCGTCCCCAACTTGTGTATGACGGAATGAACATGCCCGGTGCGAAACTTTCACTAGCGCCGAAGGTTTCGTGTTTTAGAAATTATACATCAATATATGGCTTAATTGCAGAATACCCTACCATATCGTTAGTCTTCATATTATTAGCCGTAGATATAGATTGTGATTTTATTATTTGTGATAACGGTGATACAGGTATTGAAGATTGTATAATGCAAGTGTTTGAATTCATTTGGTGGATGAAAAGTTGAATTTTACGCGGTTTTGTGCGTCATTGCAGCGCTGAATTTGGTGTGTTTGTCGCTAATTTGTGACAAATTTAGATGGCTTTCCTGATGGTATTTCATGCAAAATGTCTGTTATATTGATAAGCACTGATTCTTGTCCTTACCTTTGTCTTGTTTATTGTCTGTTATAGTCATTTAATAGATGAATTACTTGAATTCTAAGCACATTTCAGTAACACAAAATGTCCAGCCCGTACATAGTCCCACACACGTATTTGTTTGTACCTTGTGCCCTCTCTTACACTGCTAGTCTGCTTTCTAAGACCCTATTAGATATTTTAATCAACAAGTAATGTCTCGTTCTAAAAATACAAAGAAAAATAATAGTTTTGTGCTTAGATTAATAGAGTAAAGTACCCGTTTTTCGGCCACTTAAGACAAAATCCTATTTATTGGACTCTTTACTTCCTATTTATTATCATTTCTTGTTCAAATCATGAAGCAAATATTATTATTATTTAAACAAAAAAAGAATCCCAAAAAAAATCACGAATTGCCATGACAATATTCATTTCAATTTTCACTGTTTTGGAGCCGGTTATCGGCCGAGCGTTTCAGTTTACGGTCGCATGTACAAAGTCAATAGGAAGCGCTCGCGCGCGCCGTGCGTTTCTGCGCTGATGTATAGCACAAGCGGGCGGAGCAGGTATCCCAAGCCGGAGCTCCCGGGTGCTCGCCTGGCCGAATACAGGCACGGCGGTGATCGGAAGTTGGAATCTGAATTAGACAGACATATCGTGTGTGCGTCGCGGTGTGCGGCTGCATTGATTTAATACATGCGATGAGATACTTTTGAGCTTGCGACCAGCACAAAATCGGGCTCTATATCTGAAAAATACTTGAAATAAAGCTCATTTTATGGTACCCATATTTCTTACATACACGCGTAAGAAACTTGATTTTTCAGATTTGGGTAGCGGGACCGCCGATTACATCGCTAAAATGTGATATTTTAGGATATATTTTTCATTGCAAATGTGGTTCTTCAGTGACACTGGCATGGTATGGTATGTGTGGGATATGTGTTATGCTATTATGCGATGTATTTTAAAGTGATTTTACCATGTATCCAACCAATTGGCCGAAAACCGGAGCTGACCGATTACCGGGTACTTTTTAGTGGAATGTCTCGTGCTAAAAATACAAAAGAATAAATTAGCTTTGTGCTTAGACTAGACTAGTATTGGTGGGTGGTCGATGGTCGTTGGTCGTTGGCCTCATTTTTAATATTTGGGAGTCCTTGGTCGATGGTCGTTGGTCGTTGGCTTCTTTTTTAATATTTGGGAGTCCTTGGTCGATGGTCGTTGGTCGTTGGCTCTTTTAAACAATATGCCTCACTATTTGGTCGATGGTCGTTGGTCTCTTTTTCTAATATTTGTCAGACTGTTGGTCGATGGTCGTTGGACTCTTCCATTCAATAGTATTTGGTCGATGGTCGTTGGTTTCAATTTCTAATATATTTGTCAGACTGTTGGTCGATGGTCGTTGGAATTTGGCTTCTAGACCTAGACTCTAGTGCTAGACTATAGACTCTATTTCTAATATTTGTCAGACTGTTATAGACTAGTTCTAGATCTAATTCTGTAAAACCGTGGTAGGGTATTCTGCAATTGTTCCCAATATATATTCGATATATCAAATATGGAATAACGACGTCTATCCAACAAAAATGAGAAACAATTAAACTTACTTGATCACTGGTGGCTGCCATCTTATCTTGGAGAGTGTTATCCTCGTTCATGTATTTTTTTTAAATAGAAATTTATCAGGAACATAATAAACAAAAATATAATTTCAAAGAACAGTAATAATATAATTAATTGATTTTTATTTTTATAAAAATTAAAACAAAAAAAAGTGGAAATATTAATTAATAATCTACATTTATTAACTAATGTATTCGATAATAATGAAGCTAGGAGCTAGATTATTGTTGCCTGTAATCCTGAATTCCAGACAACTCGCCACAAAGACAGCTCGCCCCTGGACAACTCGACACAATACCCTGGATATCTCGTCATAATACCTAATCTAAAATCCCTTATCTTAGATGAAATTGTCATTTTATGTATTCATTATTCTTTTATAAACACAATCATAACATGGAAATTGTGAGTATTTTGAGAGCATACGTTCTAAAGAATGAAGCTGCATGCTTTACTGCTGATTTTTATTTTCGGGGGGGGGGGGGAGGATGAAACTACGTTTTGACAATTGACACCCCCCCCCCCCCACACACACACACTTTTTCGTTGGGAGGGGGCGAGTCCCCCGCCCCCACTGCTGGCGCAGTGTGATAATTTACTGTCTGTTTACCTCGCCCACATTGTTGTATACTATGTATCAGATATAATTATGTTGATAAGAATCTATACTTGTCTTGTATTTATGTTTGGCACATCTGATTGATTTGCAGGGTTTTCTTCATGCTGATGTATATTGCTGTTCACAAATAAATGGGCTCATCACCCACCCTTCACATTCAAGCTGCATGCATGATGCGCCTTACTTATACGACACTATGATCGCAACAATGGCCGGAATTCTGAAAAAAGGGGCACCTAGATACATCAACAATAATAAAAACCATTTTTAGACATTTGTATATAGGCCTACCCCTTCGTCAAGATTGTGAATACACTACCACGAACATACAGGCGCGTACGCAGGGGGGGGGGGGGGGGGTGTTTTGGGGGGTTAACCCCCCCCTTTGGTATTTTTATGTGTGTAAACCCCCCTAAAAAATCCCTAAAACCCCCCCCCCTTTGGTTTTTTATTTTTATTTTTATTTTTTAATTATTAAAAAAAAAAAAAAAAAAAAATCAAAAAAAAAAAATCACCACCATGGCTGACCTAAGAAAGGTGACCTTACCCCCCCCAACGGAGCAAAATGTCAATTTTTTCAAATTTTGAGACAAAAAAAAAAGTGTCCGTTTACCCCCCCCCCCCCCCCCCCCCCCCCCCCCCCCCCCCCCCCCCCCCCCCACTGAGCGACTTTTCGGCTGGCTGAGTCGTTGCGATTTTTTGGGCTCCCAAAAAAAAAAAAAAAAAAAATGTCCTCTTACCCCCCCCCCCCCCCCCCTCCCCCCCACTGAGCGACTTTTTGGCCGGCGCGATTTTCAAATTTTTCTGAATCGTTGCGAAATTTTGGACCCGATTTTAAACCCCCCCCCCCCCCCTTGAAAAAATCCTGCGTACGCCACTGACCACGCATGACATCAATATTTGTGTATTTCTTTACGTGGAACAACGTACTTCGCAATTGGGTGTGATATGCACTGAATATCGATTTTCGAGCAAGCGAGCAAAAAGTATGAGGTCCCATTTGAAAAATTACATTTATGTAATTATGAGTGCATTATAATTAAAACATCTATAAACGCGCAAGCAAGCTCTATATTTCAATCATAAGGGCTCTTAGATGCCTTGAAAAGTAGGCACTTATCAGAAGGGAAAATGACATATGTACAAAGGATAAGGGGGCACTTTACTTTAGGGGGACCTGAAAAAGTAGGGGCACAGTGTCCCCCCCCCCCCTCCAACCAAGAATGCCTCCTCTGACTGTGGGCAAAAGTGCGAAACTAACCCAGAAAATCATGTAATTTCAGTAAAATGTGTAATTCACTAGTAATGGTATATCTGATTGATTTTTTATTCGACAAGCTTCCAACATACAACAATATACAATAATAACAGATCAAAAATAAGTCAGCTTGAACAGGATAACCCACGAAAGCTCGAGAGCTTATTTTCAGTGGGGTCCCTATAAGACAGAAAAAAAATGCAGCTGTTATAGATCTCTAAATACCGAGAAGTTATCCCAATATCCGGCGATCGTACGCCTTCGGTTTGTCAAAAATATATTCTTGTTGCAAGGGAAATCAGCTTTATTCTCTATTCTTTATAAAAAGCATAATAATCTTGCGTCATGTGTAATTGAGTTATTTCAGATCGACGTGTATCGATCATGATTATTTACGTCTGGGGACTGACCTTCAACTAGAAAAATAACATGTGCAAAACACAATGCATTTGGTGATCGAAATGGGGCTATATAGGCATTGCTGTGGCACTCAAATGCAAACTGAGGTGCTCAAAAATATTTTGATCCCTTTTGTTCTTAAAGTTCAACATTTTAGAAAGTGAAAAATCATATCATTTGGGGTTTTGGGGCAAACCTCAATATAGGATCGAGGCTCCTCTTGCATTTAGGGCTGCGTATATAACCAGGGGTATGAGAGTTAAAACACCTCCCTGGTATAACCTATTGCACGGGCTATTTTTTTTTGACCGGGGGGGGGGGGGGGCACGTGCCTGTTTGCCAGTACATTTTTGGCGAATTTGGGGCTGATTTTAACAGTTTTTTTTTTGGTCGGGGAGGGGGGGGGGGGGGGGCACGTGCCCTCTGTGCTCCCCCCTGGATCCGCCACTGGGGAGGGGGGGGGGGGGGCGCATGCTACTTAAAGCCAAGTTAAAATAATATGTCCCTTTTGCAGCCAACATATCAAATTCTGTAGAACTTTGCAGGAATTATAAATATGTCATGTATCTCCTATCTGTGCAATTTAAACGTTAGTAGTGTCCTAATATTCAAATTTTGCAAGGAACCCGTTTACTTGCTTCACTGTCAGACACTATTGAGTGACTGACTCGCTTTTCTTCTTCAGTAATAACATACATAAGTTGTAAAGGGTTCATGAGCATTTGTCTACATCAATAACCCACTTCTTGTAATGGCCAAAATTAAACTGGTTGAATCTTTGCGCAGCATAAAACGAACGACCATTCGGTACAATGGTCTGAAAATCAGACTATTACTTATTGGCTCTATAGCTATAGAGTTCGATTCGACAACTATTATAGTCGTTATTTTCCCATGTAATTAGACATTTTCAAGCCCCCCAAGTTTTTTTTAGGGAAGTTCTAAATTAGTATAATCTTTCAAATGCTGTTGGAATTTAACCTTTTCATTTTTGGCCTGCAAATGGGACATAGTACCTATAGGCAGAGGTCTTTTATTATTATCAATATTATTATTATCATTCACTTAATGTCAATCATCATCGTTATTATTAAATATTATTATCATTATTATTATCACAAGCCCGTACTATCATCAGCATTATTATTATTGGAATTATTGTTATTTTAATTATTATTATTTTAATTATTATAATTATCATCATCATCTGTTGCTCGATCAGCTAGGCATGTAGGCAGTCCGCTCAACCACGAAGAGAATCATTTATCACAACATATAGCAGTATTACCGGTAGTTATATACAACAGAGAAAATAAAAGAGAAAGAGAGACATGCCGAAAAAGGGATCACATTTTCAGAAAGAATTCTTTGGAGCTGGACTCTTACAGATTATTATGAAACAATACATTTGCACTACCATATATTTCCCCTCCTCTTCTCACTTTCTTTATTTGTCTGTATTGTGTTGGTTTTACGCTGATCGGATGACGTGCCCCGACAGAAACACACGACAGTGTGGACATGCTTTGAAAAGTAGAATTACGGTACAGTGTGCATGTAAAACGAAGATCCAAAACCAGCCCGCAACTTCAGTTAAGGTTTCCTTCGCAGTTTTTTTCTCCAGTTCAACTTTCAAGAAGGTGCTGGTAATCCTTCGCTTCAGTTTCTTGTAGTCAACTTTTGGCCATCTTTTTCCAATTTGCCTGTGTTTTTTGGTAAGTTCTAGAATAACAGTTGCATGTAGATCTGCTATTTTCATGTTGGTCAAGTACTGTACTGCTAAACTTCCAATCTAGACTCACGGCTTAACCTGTCCGACATGTCGGACTCGTTAGACCTTTTTGATGCCGCCCGACCCCCACGCCCGGCCTTTGGGCGGGAGGCATCGGTACTACCGGGGTGCGACTTTGCGTTTTACACCCTGGCCTGGACCTTTTCCCAATAAATTTCAAGGAACCGACTGGGAAAAGTCTATCCATGACAAGATATTGCGCGCGCACGTAGCTCTTCTGCAATGCTCAACGTACGTCCTATATGTCCAGTGTCGCGGTACGCGGTACATGTACTTTTGTATCGAGACGTACGAGTGAGAGAAAAACAACGAATAACAACAGAAGGAAATAGAGAAAAACAATAAATAATCAAAGAACAGAGAGGAAACAAAGAATGTCATAAGCAGAGAGAGAAAACAAAAACTAACTTGAAAGAAAGAGAGAAATTAGAGAAGGAATTAATCAAAGTAAGGAAAGAGAGAAACCAAATAATATTATGGTTTTTGTGGTTTAATTCCGCCTTCTTCAGGGTTTCAATTTTTGACGTGTAGCCTACTTTCAAACCATTTGCTGATTCGGACCCCCCCCCCCCCTAACACACGTGTACACATATCGACACATACACAGACTACACTCGACATAATATGTGTAATGGTAATGTAATACATAAACTGTGATTTAAATATTGCACTCGTACCATTTTCTATTATTGTGGGATCACGTCTTTCATTTTTTAAATTCATGTCATTTGTTTCTAAGACCTAATTTCTCTAATTCTCTTGACCCCTCTCCCTGACAGTACTGACAGTGACAGTGACAATGTGACACTGTGCAGCGACTCACTTAGTCTTACTCTTAGTTTTGCTAACTATGGATGCCTAACAGTTACAGTTAATCGTACTCATATAACTACAATTCAAAACTGGATTTACAGTATTCATACCCGCAAAGGCGTCTGCATTGCCACTCCGTCATCATCCTCGATGAATTCCATCGTGCAGCAAGCTTCTTAACTTGTTGTTCTGAACTTGAAATCCTATATCTTCTCCCTTAATCTTCAGTATTGCAGCTGCGTACGGTGTGTATAAATGCTGCATCGACGTACGTCTGTGCATGTACGATTCGATTTGGAACTGGCGCGCCCGATCGAGGAGCGTAGACTAGACTCATTCAAGCAGTTTCATTGCTATTTACCGGGAAAATGTCCAGGCCAGGGTGTAAAACGCAAAGTCGCTACCGGGGTACACAAGTAGGCCTATAACGGGTCAGAGATCAGATCGTGACTAGACTATCGCTATATTGAAATAAATCTTCAACAATTGTTCAAATATTGGTCATGATTAAAAGTCGTTATCTTTCTTAGTCTTGCCTGTTTTCCGTGTCAATTTCTTTTCTTTTTTTGACTATTTTTCCTAAAGTAGATCTAGGGCCTAGAGCTAGAAGCATGAGAAGTAAAAACAAAGACAATATTAGTCTAATAATAATACTTTAAATAGAAGGTCTAGAACTTAGAAGACTAAATCTATACACTTTTCACAGGTTTCACTGCAAACCGCTGCACAATATGCAATACAAGTGCATACCGATGGTGGGTTTCAAAGTAGACTAGGGTCTAGGGTCTAGTGAGGATCTGAGACGGAAGATAGTTGCCAATTTGACTTTTGACTTTGAGCATATCAAAAATGTATTAAATAAAAAGGGAATGGTCTAATTAGCAGTCTTGATTACAGAGCTAGAGTAAAGTGGTGTTATTCCTATGTTATTATTGTGTTGGTGGGGGGGGGGGGCGGGAACTGGCCTCCGTGAACGGAGGGATTCCATGCATGTTCCCAAAATGTTCGGTAAAGGGTTACTTTTCACACACCTAAGTCTGGCTCGTAGTACACAAAAATTTGGCACGTAGTGACTTTACACAACGGACTTAGGGGGTGTTTTCAAAAGGAGGGAACATGCATATACGTATCCTAAATAACACTGAGTGGGAGGGGGGGGGGGACCTTTATTAAAAAAAGAGGAAAAAAAAACACATCATTTTAGTCAGACATATCATACTCGTGGTCGAGAAAGAGCAAGGAAATGTGATTGGTGTAACCTCAGGGGGAAGGGGGGGGGGGGGGGGGGGGCTTGGTTAATAAAGGCTCTGTATTAAATAAAGATAAAACAAAACTAATGTCTCCTTTCATTATCTTTTCTCTGCAGGTCTTCACAATGAATCCACAAACATCGAGCACACAGTCAGTGCCACCCTTGGTTCCTATCACATCAGGTTCAGTGGTTCTAGGAGGAGGAGGAGCTCCTAAACCAGCCGTACCATGCAAGACTCTCCAAGAAACTATCAAGGCCATTGAAACTCAGATCAATGTGAGCATGTTATCAAGATAATTAGTTCAGGGCCCCGTTTCACAAAACTTGTCATCAGTGACAAATGAGTTTTTTTTGTTATATAGCTACAGAAATCCTTGCTTGTGATTGGTAATCAGCAGATTTGTCACTGATTTTTGTCATTTATCATTGAAAAAAGCCTTTTGTGAAACACCCTTCTAGTCTCCATTTCATAAAACCTGTTTTTGTTGATAACTAATTACAAGAACTGTTAGAAGCTCATCAAATCATTGCATTTGATTGGCTGTGAGCAAATTAGTTTTAGAAAAATGCGACAATTGTCACACTTGTTATTGATGACAAGTTTTATGAAACAGGACCCTGATCCATTCCCTGAATTTCCACTGTCGCCTGCTTGCTTGTTTGGTTATTTTATTTGACTTTGGACAGCTTTGATAGGTGAACAAGGTTACAGACTAATAGTGTAAGTTCAACCTAATCTTGTAAAGGAGTCCTTAAAAAGGTAGAATATAAACTGAACCATTTAGAACTAAGATGAGATTATATCAACTCATGGAACATCCTTTGGCTGGTCCATAACTTTGTCATACATGTAGCTTGTTCTTGTAATTTTTCTCTTTATTTTGTTTAGATAATGGAGAAGCTGGGTCAGCTGTCATCAAAGCAAGAGGGTGATCTGACAAAACTTAGAGAACTTCATCAGAAGGCTTTGCAGGAACAAGAGAGGGTAAAGATTTGATATAAAACACTATGAGGAAATCTTTCACAACCTAAATCCAAAAAGAGTTCTAATGAGCAAAGAAGTATTGTTTACAGTGATGTATGGCCACCAAGAGAGAAGTATTTACATTTTAGCTCCTGCAGCTGTCAGTGTTGTATAAATAGATATGAAATGAAAATTTCCTCTACATTTTGTAGTGCTTAACCCCTTCTGCGACACCAAGTTTATGAACAATCTTCGTAATGAAATTCCACAAGACATTAAAGAGAAAGTTGAATTCTGGTCAAGATGAAGAAAAAAATTGTGAGCCTCATCTTTCTTTGTACACAAAATATGATTGTCAATTTAAAAGAATATTATAGCAGGAATGTCACCTGAAAAGGATTGCTAGTAAAATGACGTCATATTTGAAATATGACGAGAAATTGCTAGAAAATTCGGACCAAACATTTGCATGTAGTCCTTTCTATTCATTTTGTAATCATTTTTCCTTTCATTTTGATATTTGAAAAACTTCACAGGGTTAAATGTTTCTTATGTACTACATACATTATCAATGTTTCCCGATAGTTTCAAGACAGTTTCTTTCACAATGTAATTGCATGACCAGTATTCAACTTCATCTGTAACTTTCATACTTTGTCCTATTATGAGTTTGAAGCTAAATGTATGCCATGGGAATCAACTTCACCATGTCAGGGATTATTTTAAAGGTTGGGACATAGAGAAAATGTTTTCTCTATAATGCAATTAAAACAAATAGCTTCTAAGACGAATTCTCTGCCTAGCAGATTCATATGTCTTTAATTTATTACCGTATATTTTATTTTCTAGCTGCGAGTTGAGAAGATGCATGTGACTGTGACTCCCGTTCACCAGCAACCCAATTCAGCTACACAAGCTATCAAGTCTATGGCTTCTAGCAGTAACAACAATAGCAATGTTCAGGTATCTTTCTATGCAAACTTACTCTCACTTATCACTTTGTAACAATCATGTCAATGAAATGTTTTATTGGTGCATATCTCAGAAGATTGATTATGTTGTGTTGCATGTATCTTTACCATGTTTTTGTAACTTTTATATACCAGTCAATCTGTATGATTTTAGACATTCTTGTCAGTGCGCTACTACATGCTCTCACACATTTTGTTCTTTTCTCAGTTTTATACTTCATGGTTTCAGTTTACCTACTAGACATTTTATGCAATAGTTTTTTAGCCAGAATTAATTCCTCATGTTTATGTTCAGTATCGTGTCATGACCTAGTGTCATCATACATATTAATATGATTTCCTCCTTGTGCTTTGTTTTTGTCAGCTGGTTTTTTAATGATATATGTTATACATTTTAATTACCTTCACGCTATATTTTGCAGGTCTTCTGGGTGCACCAGTTGGTCGGGAAGAGGGACCATTTCGGTTACAGTGATTTAGTTTGCTTTCCTCTTCCCCGGCAGCCAACTGATGCACTCAGAGGACCTCCAGAAAGATTGTGGATTTATAATTGACATTCTCTTAATGTTTGTTTACTTATATTTACATTGTTATATTTTTTGTGAGTTGCCAAAGAAATAAATAATAAATGAAATAAAATCTTGCATGCCTTGTCTTTGGGAATTCCCCAGTTTAAATCTTTGTTGGAAACCCTAAATGCATATGGAAAGTTTGAAATATGTCTGAAAATATCAAATATGAAAGAGTAGGTGTTTTTTTAGGATTATTTTATGTCATTAACTTTTATATTTTCGTTGCTGTGATTTATTTTGTAGTAATGTTGTTGATTTTGTTGTTTATTTGTAAAATGTTCCTTCGTTTGTATTTAATTTTTAAAATATTTATTTGTTGTACATCACAGGGTTTCATGGAATGCCAGATTTGATGCTGAATAAATAATAAACTTTTTTTAATTTGTGAGAACAAAAATAAAATATACAAAATGTATCACTTTCTATGTTTGTCCTTTTGTTTCAGCTTGGAGCGAGTGGTAGCAGTAGTACGGGCTCCCATTCACTGCAGCATTCCTCGTCTAGCATACGTGATACACCAAGGGAATCTCCAATCTCAATGTCTGTAGGAGCTGGTGGGGATACAGGAGGAGATGCATCTAAGGTACTGTGCTGGAATGCATGCTAACTTGTGTAATGTTTAAAGCCCATCTGTACTAGTTTACAGGAGGGATTAGACCACCCTGCAAGGTCACTGACAAGTGTTTATCTCATCAAATCAGCTCTCAATTAACATAAGAAAAAGATCATGGGGGACCAATGGTCACCGATTAGGCATCGTTTGCTATATAGAGGACGCAAGTAGGTACAAGTAGTGCTGTGGGGCTTTAAAACTTTTTTTAGTTTAAGGTTGATTACATCACAAAACTATTAATTCATTGTAATAAGAGACATGATAGGATTATCTTAAAGTAAACCAATAAAAGGATATCATGTTAAAATACAAATTTAGCATTTTAAATAAGAAACTGTCTTTATTAAAGGTATACCGGTTATTTTGGAAACGACCCCCTCTCAAAGAATGAAATGGAAGCTCATATTACCAATCATGTGAAAGAATGTTTTGACTAATACGTGATGATACGAACTTTGCCGGGAAACCGCCTACTAATTGATATATTTGGTAAATTATTATATCGCATAGTCCCATATATATCTTTCTGTGTTCAGTGCTTGTAACTTTACCAAGACTGAGCCAATTTTTAAAAAAATCATTTTGATGATTCCAGAACCTTGCAGTACACACCAATCCTCATATGCTAAATGATCAACCTGTTCTGATCAGTTTCACAACGTTTCTTTCACAATGCAGTCGCATGACCAGAACTGATCTATACCTTTAAATGAAAAATGTATAAAGGCAAATTATAATAATTTCCAAAACATAAATACAAGATAAATTTAAGCAATTTGATTTGGATTTCTGTTATAATCCTTTATATTATGGTGTACAGCTAGGTTCTTGGAGACCAATTTATAAATAATTATCTGACAATGATTATCAATTCAACTTCATTGTAGTTTATTTTACTTTTTAACTGATGCAAGATGGTATTTTGATCATATTCTCTTTTTGAAGATCCTAAACAAGAAGAAGATTCAAGATCTTGTTCGGGAGGTGGATCCAAACACACAACTTGATGAAGACGTTGAAGAGGTAAGGAATCCATTTCAAACTAATGAGTTGCTAGAGAGCTCTTTCCTTTGAAATAACGATGTAGCATACATCTTCCAAGATTTGTCAAACTTCTTCAACTGATTAATGCAGTTTTAGTGTAATAAAAGGATAATCGATGACCAGTGTCTGTATGTTAATACTCTTCTAATGAAAGCGTTATTATGTTTTTAGAACTACACATGCAAGACCTACTAATGCATCCTAAGTATTCAAACAATAAACAACAATATATATGTATATACCGCCCGCTCTTGACTTCATCCATTACTCAACTGACGATGCAAACCTGTATTCTTTCAGATGCTACTTCAAATAGCTGATGACTTCATAGAGAACATAGTAACGGCAGGCTGTCAGCTCGCCAAGCATAGAAAGTCTTCAACTCTTGAAGTCAAAGACATCCTTATGCATCTAGGTGAGTCAGCATTTCAACATTCAGCTGTAGTCTTTCAGGGCAGCGTTTAAGTTCGCAGAAAACCTATCAAAATATGTGTATTAAATTGAAAATGCATTGTAATGGGATGTCAGTAAACTTGTAACGATGAACAGGTTTCCATACTGTAAAACCACAAACTTTGCAACTTGTTAAGGACCTCCTTTTTTGCAGCATAAAACTTTTGAAACATTTGATAGTTTCATGCATTTGAAAGTTTCATGCTTATGAAAGTTTTTGTTTGTACAGAAGATGATGGATGCGATACATTTACATGGCGTAGGTAAACAAGCCATGCTAATGAGCAAGTTCAATATAACCTTACTTGTCCTGTTATACATGAATGATTTCATGACTTCATAAAACAGATATAATAATATATGTGTTATTCAGTCTCCCAACGACTTCAGGAGATTGATTTTATTATTATTATTATTATTATTTATTCGGCAAAGGAAAACATTACATATCAGTGTACACAATACAAAATAAGACATAATTATCAACCATTGGAACGCCAGGGACAGAAAAAGTTAACTAAATTACTGTGGCATAAAGCCTCCTGTCCCAATTCCAATGGATGATTTACATAAAACAGAAATAAGAAGTTTAGCCTTGGGTAACCTTCAAAGTTGAAAAGTAATTAGGGCCTATTAAACAATTATAAGTGATGTAATTAAATGCAAGATGCGGTATCATTATTTCAGATACATTATATAATATTAATCAATTACAAACAAATGTATAGGCTAATTAACATTTGACACATTGAATAAGTGTAGGAGATGTTGCTGTATAGGGCAACATATTAAAATATAAAATAGCATATTAAATAGCATATTATAACTGTATCTCCCCTGACAGCAAGGAATAGAAGATACTATAAAAAATGAAAGGAAACTAAAAGAGACAAAGGGGGGGGGGGGGGGGGGAGAGAGAGAGCAAAGAGAGAGGGAAAAGTAAAGCAAACAGAGAGGAGAGAAGTACATATTTATCAGTGATATATTTTCTTGAAATCAAAATTACAGTGTATATTTAGGCCCGTACCATAACAGGATTCGACATGACCACACAATCCCAATATATATATATCCCATTCAAGGTTACAAATATTCATAACACTGACCTATACCAAAAGATAAAATTACAATGAAATATATATAACCCATTAAAGATACAGGTTACAAATATCTATAATACTGACCTATACCCATGATACCGGAAGAACAGTTCCATAACAAAAGAACATCGTTATTTTGCAATTATAAACACGTGCGTGTTAACAATATAATAAGCGGGGGAAATATTAAGGAGGAAAAGAAGCAAGAAGAGGCGGAAGCAGTAGAATTTAGTATTCAGTTTAATATAAAACCACTCAACCGCATATTATGCTCCAGCCTCCTCTCCCCTCTTACCCTTTCAATCATTTAAATCCCACACTGGCGGAGGTGACACCCAAGCGCAGCAAGCCAGGTCGACAAGGAAGTCTCGACCACCCCCGTGCGCAAGGACTCGGGGAGTTCGTCCCAGTAACGAGGAAATGCATTAATTGCAGAGCCGTGCATCCGTTGAGTCTGCGGATGCGGATGTAGATGCGGATGTAGACTGAGACTTTTTATATGATACATACACAAACTTGAAGGCAATCAGAAATAATAATAATAATAATAATAGTAATACTCAGTAATTACTCAGTTTTTATATACATGTAGCACCAATTACAATTAAGACTCTAAGCGCTATGGAACATAGAAAAAATTCAAGAAGTGAGTACAGTAGAAATGAAATGATAAGAACATAATAGCATGATGAATATCCAAACTGAAACTACATGTACATGTATAATACATTGTATTGTATAAAGAATGGTACAAAATTACGTTTGAAAAAGGCAAGACTTTAACAGACTTTAAAATACAGTAGATAGCTCTATTAGACAGGGTCCTATTTATTTGTGTTCTCTTTTTGTTTACAGAGAGGAATTGGAACATGTGGGTACCAGGTTATAACCCTGATGAAGCACCTAAAGCTCACAAGAGACCAGCATCAACAGAAGCACATAAACAAAGGATGGCTCTCATACGAAAAACACTCAAGAAATAAACATTACTGGACTACATTACTGTCTAAATATGAACTATGGTGAAGGACAAAGCCTTCCTGCAATTATGTTTGTAATTGTCAGAGACCAGGCCTTCTTGTATTGCATGTGCACATCTTTTGTTAAAGCTCATCTGTACTAGTGAACAGGAGGGATTAGAACACACTGCAAGGTCACTGGACAGGTGGTTATCTCATCAAATCAGCTCTCAATCAACATAAGAAAAAGAGGATCATGGGGGACCAATGGTCACCAATTATGCATTGTTTGTTGTATAGAGGGTGCAAGTACCTATTAGTAGTGCAGCAGGCCTTTAAGGGATTGACTGCTGCAATGCTGACACCCTCTCTACTGAAAGTCAGAGAGGAAGAAGTACGAAGAGAATAGAGTCTGATGGTTGGTGGATCAACTGTGATGATGATGTTAGAAATCTATAAAGAATCTACTCCCTTATTTGTCCTTGTACATTTGACATGGATGGCAGAGGGATAGACTGTAACTCCATGATTTTACCATCATTATTTCAGAATGCATTAAACCTGATAGTTTAATTTCTTTTGCTGGCCATATATAGTTGAAACTAAACATTGCCCATCATCTGTTGAGTGCAAGAAGGATGTTAACCCCTTACAGGGTATCTCTGTGTTGAATGATGCCAGTTAATGTCCTTCTAGTTGTCAGCAGACAATATGTGTCTATTTTATAAATGGGCAGCAGGGGCTCTTCCATATATCAAATGACGTTGTCCAATAAGTCATTGGGAATCAAGACTGATCATTCATTCGATCAATCAAATAATGCTCCATGAATTGCAACATTGTTTTTAAGATTATGATAACCAAGATGTCTTGTTGAATGTTTGTTTATTCAGATTTTGTGATATTTGTTTTGTAAATAAATTATGTATAAACGCCAAAGGCGACTTTGTCTTGTTTTTTTTCCCTCCACTTTTTCCATCTCTGTACCTGCCTTAAAGGTAAAGACCAGTTTTGGAAACGCCCCCCTCTCAAAAATGAAATGGAGGCTCTTATTACCAATCATGTGAAAGAATGTTTTGACCAATACATGATCATACAAATTTTGCCGAGAAACCGCCTACTAATTGATATATTTGGTAAATTATTATATCTATTTGGACCTGATAGAAATAACGCACGTGTCGCGCACGTGTGCGTAGTCCCATATACATCTTTCTGTACAGTGCTTGTAACTTTACCAAGACTGGGCCAAATTTCTTATCATTTTGATGATTCCAGAACCCTGCAGTACACACCAATACCACCCCTTTTCTGATCGATTCCACGTTTCATTCACAATGCAATCACATGACCATAACTGGTCTTTATCTTTAATCAAGAACAAAAGTAAGAAATAAATTGTTATCTGCCCATGTATGTAATTTGTGGGTCAAACTAAAAGAGAAAGATAATGTGATAAAGAGGAAGAGTTATGAGAGAAAGGTAAAGCGAGTCATTTTGATGTTTTTATTCGATTTTTTCTTTTTTCTTCTTCAATTTCCTTGGAGAATGTGATTTGACAAAGCTAACCTGACAACTCTCAACTTTTTATTCCATGTCCCACTTGATCTTTTCTGTGTATGGGCAGACGGGTCATTTGTACATAAGTGTAAGAACCCATCGAGACGAATGCTGGATACATGTTCATTGAAATTATGCAATCATTTATTTTTTACATCCAACACATTCTTTGATATAAGACGCAAGTAAGAGAAAACAAAAGGTATTTACAACGTACCTCCATCATTTTGGCAGTGATTATTATAAAATGCACAAACTGGGACTTATCTGTTCATTACTTCTCTAGATATTTGGGTCATGTCCACATTTGCTCTATACACTTGTCATTTCTCTTTTCTGCAACTATAACTTATCCTCCCATCACATCTTACTTCTCTTGATCACACTTTGTTTCTCATCCTCTTTTCTCTAGTACAACCCTTGCCACCAGCAGCATTGACACCTGGGGCGGTATTCTGAACCCTGTGTTATCTCTAATATTGTTGTATTTTTGAAGATAAGATAAAGTTGGTATTCTGAACATTGTTGTAACTTTTGTGTTATCTTTTGTTGTATCTTTTCTCTCATCTTATTGGCCGCGCCTGCGCTCATACTTTGGTGCGCTTGTGTTTCTTTACAATTTTGATATATTTGGATGCCCCTGTAGATGAATTATAAGCACTAGAAAAATTAGCCCCCAAAAACACTGCTGCTATCAAGAAAAATTGAATATAAAAATTTACCGGTGCTCCCGGTAAATTTGTGATTAATTTCAAATAGCGCCTATGGCCATACAATAGTAGCTGCGACCATGAAAATCTCAGAATATGTAGTTGTGATATATAATTTCCAAATGGGAATAGCTAATCGGTCGATTTTAGTCAACAAACATTGTGTTATAGCTTAATTAATATCTTCAACCGCGACAACGATCACTGAATATTGTAGGATCGCATATCGCTTCCAATAATGTGCATTTGAACCAAATTCATGACCCCATACCAAAACTTCGTATTACCTATAATAAAATGGCATTCAATCCTCATTTGCATATGCGAACGGGAGATAATATGTCGAGATGATTGGTATTCTGAAAGTTGTTGCATCTTTTATCTTATCTTGCATGGTATTTACAACAATATTTACAACAGGTAGGGGGTTGTTGTATCCTTCGTGGTGATATAATGGCGGCAATATTTTTTGCCCAGAACCAACTTTGTGCCAATAGACGAGTTAGAAGAAGATTGTGTGTTGACCGGAAACATCACAGATGAGAACTTTCTAATATATTACATGCTAGGATACGATGATTTTAATGCTCTCATCTTAACCAATAATAGTGAAAGCGTGATTTGTCTTCATGATCCATGACGTGCGTAATAAGTGCTCAAATAACTAATTACGCCCAAGATTAGTATGCGCTAGTCGCATCTTCAGATATGGCATAAAGTATTCCTATTGGTTGACCTACTTATGATGCTTATATAAAATAGATTTTGATTGGTAGGGTCCATAAAAATGGGCGTGTCATCAATGGTCAAAGATGAGATAGAGGCGGTCCTTCAAGAGATAACACAGGGATAAAACAATGTTCAAAATACCAACTTACAACAATATTAGCGCTGTGTTATCTCTGGAAGATACAACAAAAGATAACACAAAACTTACAACAATGTTCAGAATACCGCCCCTGTCCCCCACCATGTATTCTTTTACTTACCCAGCCTGAACTGCCAGTATTAATCTGTCATTAAAAAGTCATCAAAACCCTGACAAAACATAAATACAACACAACATTTATTTGAGAAATCAGGATGTGTTTTATTGCTCTTGCTATTCTGCAAGGTGAACGAGTTTCGTTTGTAAGTTCTGATTTTCAGAATTCATAAATATTGCTCTTTTGTACAAAATAATGTTTTGTATTTGTATATACAAGTGTACAAAAACCTGTGAAGAGAAAATTGGTTAGTCAATCACATTGTTATAGAAAAGCATATACTTTATAAATGAATGAATTTCAGTTTTTATCCTGTAAGAAAAAAAATGGGAATGTCAATAATATATGAGCTTTTGTAACAGTGATCATTTTGTTGAAAATAAATGCAATATAAAAGATAACAAAGAATTTTTAACAAGATTTTGATACAAATGAAAAAGAAGGCACCATTTGAATAACATTAACATACCAAGATACTTATCACATGGACTGTGCATTCCTTAAAGTGCTACTGTCTTAGGAACCTTTTATTTCCGATGTGACACAAAAAGAATAACCTAGAGCTATCCAAAACAGCACATCTACTTTGCATAAACTTCTTTGATTCTTTTGTCAGTTCAATTTTTGTCTACTGGTTGATCAACATTAAAAGTATCACATTCGATTGTCATGCTAAAATGCATTTTACAAGAAGGCAGGATTCAAATTGACTATCAGTCTTACAAATTCAACTTGTATTTACAACAGTCAACAAAGAAGGAAACACTCTTCCTTTTTCTGTATGCATTTTAAACTCTTTCTAATGCTTTCAGAACATATTATATATGCTTTTCATATTTTGCACCACTTGTCTGCACATGAGATAAATTACAATTTACACCCATTGTCCATGAGAGTGAACACTGCTGTTAAGCTATTAACAATTTAGAAGTTGCTACACATAAGCAATATCCTTGCAGGCAGAAAAGACCAACTCTCATTCCCATTACAAGACAATGTTACACTTCTGCATACATTTATGTATCAGAGATAATCTTTCATATATTTACAATTCACGATGCCACATACAAAGCCTTGAGGATGTCTACTGAACTACAAGGGAACAAAAGACAGAGAATGGGCTCAGAAGTTTGGCTGCATTATTTTACCCCACATATACAGTACATACATAGACACATACATCCACAAAATGTTATATATCTCTACACAAGACGGAAGCGTTTTCATCACTGTGTTACACACACAATTCATTTACAGGAAAGAATACAGACGTCTTTGGTTTAAAAGGCAAAACCTCCCTGTGGGGCAGCACACTGCTGACCTGAGAATTCATAGGTTCCACTTTCGTTTGTTGATGGGGCAACTTTCACGTCTTCCTCTTCCTGTGTAAAAAGCAAAAATACAAATGGATGAAGTCCATGAAATCTATTGTATCTAGACAGATTCAAAAACACAATCATATATTTTTTTCTGCGATATTTTGCATTACTTGCTCTAAATAATTGTTGTTTGTTTGAACAATTGATTTCAAAATGGGCAATGCTGTGAAAGAATCTGTTATGTTGTCTTGCTATTTTCAGATGTTTGTGAGGAATGTGCACGTCAAAAACAGTTAAATTCACCATTTGTTTTTGTTGCGGAAGTAGAGGGGGAGCTGTCAACAATCTGGAAATGTGTACATGTACTACAAAAATATTATGAGACGAGAGTTACATACCTGTGGTGAATAGTACTTCTCGATGATCTCTAGTGACATCTCATAGACATTCTCATTCTCATGCTGCTGAAGGGCTTCAATCTTGTCTAGACCACCAGCTTCCTCAATCATAAGGCATACAGTCTCAAGCTGTTCAAGCTTCTCAGCAGCCTAAATACGGTAAACAAGAGGATCAAGAGTAACTCCAAATTAGTCTTTCAACTGTTCTGAAGAGCTGTGAAACATGGATCTATTCTATCTATGGTACCACATAGCATCAGATCGGTTACCAGAATTGTTGGCATTAATATATAGAAATGGCAGATAAGCTAAGGAAGCCAGTCCCCAGCCAGGTTTCATTCCACAAACCACAAGGAATAGTCTCTTTTTTTTGGGGGGGGGGGGGGGGGGGCTAATGTCATGGACAGAGTCAGCTGCAGTACAGTTATATTATCAGAATGGTAGCTTTTTATTATCATACATCACCATACAATCTCTCAGAGAAATACATTGTTTCACAATCATTGTACGTGAAAATGCCAGTGGTTATACAGGACTAGTGAACAAATGACTACTTACGGAGAGGATATTCTTGAAGGCATCGAGAATGACCTGGATGATCTTAGCCTCCTTGACATTGAGAAGATCACATAGAGGCTTGAGGCAACCAGACTGGACTATCTGGACAATCTGTTCTACTGATCCACCAGAGGTCAGGTTGGTCACTGCCCAGCACGCTTCCTTCTGGCTCTTGTAATCACCCTGCAGAAGAAAGAAAAGAGATTCAAACAATGGAATGTTATCGGTCGATTGATAAGAAAAAAAACATAACAATAACTGCTTTACTGTTAATCTACAAGTTCTATAAAGACATTCCAACCACAATCTTGGACCCAACACTAAAAGTATAAGCCCAGCACAACAAATGCTCTGGCCCTACATCTTTGATGAAATAAAGCCTGCAGCAAAAGTCACAGAAGAAAATGTTGGGATTACTTATCTACTCCCGGTATCTTATGGCTTTGAATGTGTTTTTTTTAATAATAATCCATAAAGAATTTTGTTTAGAATGGTAATACAAAATGGGACTACATACTCTTCTCTTGCACCTACAAGTATCTTATTTTTAATTTCATGTGCTTCCTTTAAAATATAAATTTTTCTGAAAATACATTACAAAAGGGTCTATCCTAACTACTCTCATTTTTGAGAGACATCTTGGAAGTTGTTTGTGAATTGAAGTGAGCTTTACCTTTTCTAGGACGCCGACGAGTGGGGGAAGAAGTCCAGCTGAGACGACAGATTGGATCTGCTGTACATTGCCTGCTGTGATGTTACTGATGGTCCAGCAAGCTTCTTTCTGGATGTTCTGCTTGGGATGTTGCAGGAGGGCGACAAACAAGGGCAAGCTCTGACTGTCAATTACACTCTGAAATAAAACAAAATCAATCACAATAGTATGAATATCAGGGAATAGAAATAGAATGCCACATACAATTACCTTTTTGCTTGCATAAAACAGACCAAAGAACACTTGCAGACTTTTGATACAATTAGGGATAATAATATTACAAGGCTATGAACTGGTCACAGTAGCAAACTTAAAATGAAGAGAAAACGGAGCATACATAGTTGTTATTGTGTGCAATGATTCCTGTTCTGGCAAATAACTGCTTCTTCTTGTTCATAACATTTACCCACAAATCTATGCTGCCACATTTCTTAGAGGCAGTTTACTGTGTCATATATGTACCTGAACATGGCTTTATGAAACTTGACTATGGTATTATTGGCATCTAGCTTACCTGTGTCTGTTCATCGGTTCCTGTAACAATGTTTCCTATTGACCTGAGGGCAGGAGTCTATACAGGTAGAAACAGTAAAAAGTGGTTTATAAAAACAGGTACAAATCTCTCCTAACCTGGTCATTAGAAAATGTTTTAAAAATAATATATGCAATCATCTCTTTGCAATTACACAAACTCAACAAATGAGTACACTCTGTAACCCTCTGGTTTCAAAGTGGGAAGAAAGTTCTCTCTTCAGATCAAAAGGAAACAAATTTGTGAGTGCAGAAATTTGGCAACCTAAATATACATCAAGTTGTTATGATTGAAAAAAAAAAAAAAATGAAAACTGCTTACTATTCCAGACCTGCCAACCTCTGGAGTTCAAAAACTGTATTCTTTAATCCCAAAGTTGTATTTTACTGACAAATTGTATTAACAATAAAAACATGGATCAATGCCTTTTACAGTTCCTACATGCAGGAAGAATTTTTTTAATGGATCATTGGTTGAATATGCACGATTTCATCATGACTTAAGTGTTCTATCAACCAATGAACATCTCCAAATTGCTGGTGTGAGATGCTTGCAGGATACTTTACAGGACAGAATGGACAGGGGAAAGAAAAAAAAATTGTACGAAAATATGATCAAATTGTACTGGTTGGCATGCAGCCCTGCTATTCATTCTGGTAATAGATAACTGAAAAACACCAACTGTACTAACGAGTACTCACAATTACTGAAATTTCTTGGCTCCTTAGAAGTTCAACAACTCTGGTCACAACACCAGCCTTGATGACAAGCTGTAAGAAAAAGAATTAACAATATTCAAATTAGTCCCATTCAAGTAGCTTCACAATATAGATTATTTGGTTTTATGGGCTGTAATGTGGTCACCAAAGAAAAGTATATGGGAAATTTGAGAACTATTTCTAACAGCAAAGAAAATATGCAACATCTTATGGATTGGAATTTATTAACAAATTTGAACAAACTATGCAAATATTACTGGTTTAAAAATGCTAGAACAAAATAAATGTTAACTAACCCATGAGGAGGTACTTGACTTTCTTATAAAGGTGAAATGAAGATAAGATTAGTAAGATACTTACTTCAATTCTATCATTGCTGCCATCTGTAAGGTATGAGAGAGCCCAGCAGGCATCTGCTACAATTTCTTTGTCACAATGATGGATGAGAGACTGAAGAACAGGGAGCACACCAGACACAACCTCGTCGCACGGAGGGGGGCTCTTGTTACGGCAAAGGTTGGACAGTGTCCAGGTAACGTTACGCAGGAAAGGAACCTAGGTAAATCAGGCAATGACCAAAGGCCACGGTTTAGTCAAGTTTCATGAACTTTACATCATAAATATAATGTATATAACCAAGATCAGTGAAGTTTCTTGGCAAACACATTTCAAAAGAACTCCAGGAGAAAGGAACTTTGCAGCAAGCAAATTACCGTTATGATGAACACGATACTAAAAATATTTACTTGGGGTACGTGCAGATCTCGCCTAATTACATATTTAAGAAAGTGTTTGGGAAAGCATCATAGTTGCTGATTTTTTTTTCTCAAGCAACTTTTTTATACAAGTGGAAGAAATTGTGGAAACAAAATATAAATCAAGCTTACTGGGGTTGTTGGTTGGTAGAGTTCCAATAGTGGCTGGAGGATGCCATGACGTGTCACTACATCCCTCATTTCAGGACCATCACCTGGCATAGAATAAGAGAAAGAAATGCTGGTTAGCAAATGTGTTCAGACATTGTCAAACTTATCTACAACAAAAGTGTCAAATTTGTGCAAATTTGTTTTCTCACTGTTATCTTCGGTAAAGTTCAGATGAAAAATATCATGATCAGCTGAAACGTAATAATAAATATAATACGATTGGACATTTTTTAGAGCATACTATCCATTACGCAAGGTGCTCCAATATCACTCTGGCTCTAGACAGGCCACCAATTTCATAGCTTCTTTTACTTCTCCACATGACTGAGGTTAAAATAACAAATTTGTTGGCTGTCGGTCATTTGTGGTGATTTTACTGGCCAAAAAAATTCTAAACTTACCAGCAATGTTACCCAGGGCCCAGACAGCCTGCTCACACACATTCTGATGGGATGATGATAGGAGCTTAATGAAAGCTGGAATAGCACCTTCACTGACCACCGCCTTGGTTTGCTCTGGTGTTCCTGAGGCAATGTTTGTCAAGGCCCACGCAGCTTCAAATTGCATTGTTGGGCTAGAGTTAACAGAGACAACAAAATAAGTCTGTTATTATGAAGTTTCCAAAGAAAGAGCAAACACATACATACAGGAGAAAATATAACATTTAAGACAAGAAACAAAAGATTTTGCCTACATTTTGATAAGAGCTTTACAATTGATATTTGAAAATGCCATTTTGTTATATAGATACATTGTGTCATACGGTCTACTTTACACAATACAACTCTGAGGCACAAGCTGAAGCATTGAGTCATTGCAACACATTCTGTAGAAGACATGTATGACAGGTGATTGATAACATTACTTACTTATCACTGTGGCCAAGGAATGCGACAAATTTTGGTACAAGTCCTGCTCTAATGATGGGGTTGATTGGAGGCTGACGTTCACGAGAGAGCATTCGCCTGTTCAGATAAACACAAACCAAATATACAACAGTATAAAAACAACTACTACTTTGGAAAATAGATAATACAAGAAATGTTGATCCATTCATGATTCTTGGGTTTTTTGTCAAGAGGGTTTATTGTGGTTCACACTGTAGCAAAATATAAAGGACACTGCTGGAGTACTGGTAGAACAGGATGACATAATCATAGCAATGTAAGATCAGTTCTGGGCCAGAATAAAGAGTACAGTTATAGAGAGAGCACCTCACCAGTGTACATCTCATTTATACAGTATGATTTTATCAAAGACAGTATTTACCTTGCTGTTTGTACTGCATTAAACTGAGTTGATGAGTCGCTGGAAGAGATGGCTTTGCAAATATCTGGAATACTCATCTGGACAGTGGGCTGAAAGTAATTTGAGATACAAATTAATGAATGTTTGCTATTTATTATTTACATTCCATTGTTATGAGAAAGACACTAGACAAAACAAAAACTCTGGAAACCTGTTTCATAATGAAAAAAAAAATATATGAATCTTTTCAAAAGTACCTGTTTCTTTTCTTGTAAAGGACTAACAGGCTCCTCATCTGTGTTAACATTCCTTCTCTTGAGCATTTGATCATCTTTCTTGGCCTTGCGGAGCTCCACAGACACCTCGTTACGCCTTCGACGAAGTTCCTATAAATCAAGATATACGGTATACCATTATTAAAAATACCTACGCTACATGTAAGTGCTAACAATGAGATTAAGTTCAACCATAACATTGAATGTAGTGGAGTCCAAAAATCCATAGGTCATAAAACACACTTCCTAAGAATAAGAAAGACTGAAAGTAGGCAATAAAGTACATTTTACTAAAAAATTGCAAGCTCTCTTGTACAAAATCTGATAATTACATTACAATAAAATTTACATTTCAAACTTTTTTCGTTGTATACATAAATTTGTATCTTTATCTAAAAGCATCTAAAAATCATTTGTGAACCCTAAATTCCTTACAACCTACATGTACAGTATATATATATATATATATATAGAAGAGTTAAATCTTAAAGGTAATACAAAGTTTTGGTATGGGGTCATGAATTGGTTCAAATGAACATATTGGAAGCATATGCGATCCTACAATATTCAGTGATCGTTGTCGCGGTTGAACTCGAATCTAGAGTTATGAAATTGTAAATAATAAACTCTTTATGTTGTATAGCTCCCTCTCAAGGTCAAGATATTAATTAAGCTATTAAACAATGTTTCTTGACCAGAATCGACCAATTAACTATTCCCGTTTGGAAATTATATATCACATCTACATATTCTGAGCAACAGTAAATTTTTATATTCCATTTTTCTCGAAAACAGAAGTGCTTTAGGGGCTACATTTTCTAGTGCTTATTATACATCGACAGGGGCATCCAAATATATCCAAATTGTAAAGAATCACTATCAACCCTATTTTCAAAATTTCCCAAAACGTTGTATTACCTTTAAGACTAGTTCCTGTATGAAACCTTGGTGTATTGATCCATAAACAATATTTTATAAATAAAAAAACAAAAAAAAAACCCACCCCCCTAAAAAAAAAAAAATGTGATCATGTATTTATACTTACAGAAGAGTCCTTGCTCTTGTTCTTGAAGGCCTGCATCCTGTTGTTTTCAATTCCAGGCATGGTGACTTGGTTGTAGTGAATGAGGATATGAAAGTAAACTTTAAATATTTCAAGGAAGTAGTCAAGCTCCAATTTCTACTCTTTGTTTGAAAAATATTGTTTGTAGTTATCTTTAATTGATTGAAGTGGTATTTCAGAAGCTGTAAACAATCTGAAAAGAAAACGAAGAAAGAAAAAAAAAACAGCCGTTAAAAATATTCTCACACAAATTTTTATCAAGCAGTGAATTAGCCCGACCGTTATTAATATCTTCTAATTCTGTCCATCCTAATTTCACTTCTACAACTCCAAAAGGGCCATTCCATGGTAACTCGCGTTACACTTAATGGGTACATTGACACGATAATGTGCCTATATCTTTAGAACTGCTAGGATCTACAAGATACTTTTTTCAAACATGGACAGGGTAGATATAGAACAACTGAATGAAACAAAAAAGAAAATTGAAGAACAAACATTTTTAGATTCTTGGATTATTGAATTTCGGTAACTCGCGTTACAAAAAAAGGACATGGTCAATTCTACGAGACCCTCTTTTCTCCTCATACTAGACAATCTTGACAAAATCTTTCCTATTTTAATTTGATAGTAGGTTGTGACTTACTAGTATAAGATCACAATATTAAAGATAAGAAACAATGGACTAGTAAACTGCAGGAAGCAAATATGTCGGTAACTCACGTTACGGTAACTCGCGTTACATTTTGTCCGGAGGCCATTTTCACCCCTTTGTAATAGATTAAATATCACAGGACCCCTTAGAATATGGAAATATATTCATCTTTTTCCATTTAGCGAAATTTTCAGGAAAAAAAATTACAAGAATCCTGTGTAATCTGCAATAAATTGTTTTTTTTTCAGCTACAGTCCCACATGTACGTTTTTGATGATAGTTTGAGATCTTAGGAAATCAACAAAAATGAAAAAAAAATTGTACTGAATTTGAAAGGCCCTAATGTTTTATGAACATCCATGGCATAAGGTTAGTGATAAATCAAAGAATTAACATAAGAGGTACATTTCTTTTTTTGATGTCATGTCCTTCTTCTCATGGAATGGCCCAAAACATGTTTTTTGACATGGTAACAAAATGAGGCACCCTATCACTATCACCTGCCAAACCTTCCTCTATTTGATCATCTTTCATTCTGTTTTAATGTACATTTTATCACTATCTAAGCTTTTTTGTTATTACATTTAATCTGCTGAAGCCTGGCTTGAGCACCATGTGGGTGGACAATTACAAATGTGTGCATTATTATATTTAATATCAATCTCATCCGAACTTTCTCGTCCAAACTTTCTATTTTTCTTGTGTGCCTCGGAATAGCATTGTCTAGATAGACGGCGCTATGCAAAAGCCTATTATTATTATTATTAATATCACTATAATACATGTAGAGTTAAGATTAACTCTGCATTACTCAAAGCCACATGTGGGAATATCTAATAACGTCTTTATACAAGACTATATATTTGCAACGTTGAAACGACGACACGAAGTGAAAGTAAAACATAACCAAATCGTACTACCCTTTTGTGTCCATTCTCCTTTTGTCGTCTGAATAATACTACATGGTGGCAGCGGTATAAGTGAAGAACCATGGAAAGTTCTCGCCTACCATTGCCAGAAAGCTTTGATAAAGTTGCAGGCTTAAATCAAGCAGAACAATGGCCAAAATGGTCACGGCGGTTCGAGAGATATCGCGTCGCATCGGGCCTCGCATCCAAGCCAGACAGTGAGCAGGTTAGTACGCTACTCTATGCTATGGGTGAATGTGCCGATGATATTATCGTGTCTCTCAATGTGAAAGAGGAGACAGCAAAGTATGATGACGTGATCGCAACATTGAAGAAGTATTTCAATGTACGGAAAAACATTATTGTTGAAAGGGCAAAATTCAACAAACGAACACAACGCCCGGGAGAAAGTGTGGACACATTTATCAATGATTTGTACAGGCTAGCAGAGGACTGTGACTACGATAGACTTAAGGAGGGCTTGATAAGAGACAGAATTGTAGTTGGGGTGCTTGATGACTCCCTATCTGATCAACTACAGTCTAGAGAAGACCTAACTCTCTCAAAAGCAGTTCAATTGAGTAGACAGTCAGAAGCCCGGAAACAAAACAAGTCTGTTGTGAGGGGAGGTGCAGAGAGTGAGAGCCCTAACTCGGCCGTAAACTACGTAAGGCCTAAGAGCAAGGGAACGTACTCGAAGAAAACATCTCAAACTCCGCAGGGTAACTGTAAGTGGTGTGGAAGGCAGAATCATGCACGTGCCAGCTGTCCCGCAAAAGATGCAAAGTGCCATCAATGTGGAAAGATGGGCCACTTCCAGTCTGTGTGTCAAGCCAAACAACCAGAACAGGGAAAACCAGAACAGGGAAAACAAGAGGCAGCAAAGCTAAAATGGAAAGCTCGAGTCAGCGAAGTAGATGATTTCGATGACATTGATGTCCCCTTCCTTGGTGAAGTCAGCGAGAACGATCAGACGTACTGGAGTTCATCGATCCTCGTAGATGGGAATGAAACACACTTCAAGTTAGATACAGGAGCAGCCGTTACTGTGTTGTCTGATTCCACTCCATGGCTGAATAAACACATCATGAGACCAACAACCAAGAGGTTACGTGGTCCAGGAAGTACAGTCCTGACTGTAATAGGACAAATGACATCAACTCTCAGGCATAGAGATAAACAGATCAAGGAGACTCTCTATGTGGTCAAAGATCAGGAGTCTTCATTGCTGAGTAGGAAAGCGTGTAGAACCTTGAATCTAGTCCGCAGAGTGGAGGAAGTCGATTCTTGTGATGATGAAACTGCAAACTTCAAGGCTGAGTTCCCTCAACTTTTCACTGGTTTGGGGAAACTGAAGACAGCATACCACATCACGTTAACTTCAGATGCCAAGCCGATGTGCCTGTATACAGCCAGGAAAGTTCCTCATCCGCTTCTACCGAAGGTGAAGAAAGAACTAGAGTCCATGTTGGAGCAAAATGTGATCTCAAAAGTGACTGAGCCGACAAAGTGGTGTTCGGGGATGGTTCCAGTGTTGAAGCCCAGTGGTTCGGTGAGAATTTGTGTAGACCTTACATCTCTCAACAAGGCAGTTGAACGAGAGATTCATCCGATGTCTTCAGTTGATGAAAGTCTAGCAAAACTGGGAAAGAGCACAATCTTCACAAAACTGGACGCCAACAGCGGGTTTTGGCAAATTCCATTGGAGGATGAGTCAAAGCTACTGACAACCTTTGTCACTCCATTTGGGAGATTTTGCTTCAACCGATTGCCGTTCGGGATAACGTCAGCGCCAGAAGTCTTCCAGAGAGCGATGTCCACTATCCTCGAAGGACTTGACGGCGTGATTTGTCACATGGATGATGTGCTAGTCCATGGTGCAACACAAACAGAACATGACATCAGAGTACGAGCTGTTCTACAACGTCTGCAGGAAGCAGGTATCACACTAAATCAGGGAAAGTGTGAATTCTCCAAACAGAGTGTGAAGTTCTTAGGGCACTTCATCGACGACACTGGTGTCAAGGTCGATCCGAGCAAAACAAGAGCTATTCGAGATTTTCTAGTTCCTCGAAGCGTGAAAGAGCTACAGAGGTTCATGGGAATGGTGAACCAGGTGGGAAAGTTTCTCCCAGGATTAGCTGAGATCAACGAGCCCCTTCGTCAACTCCTGAAGAAAGACAATGTGTGGTGTTGGGGAGAAGCGCAGCAGAGATCTTTCACACAGATCAAAGAGATGATGGTCTCGACAGCAGTCTTAGCTCATTATGATCCAGAACTGCCAACAGTCATTGCAGCAGATGCATCCGGGACTGGAATGGGTGCAATCCTGTATCAAGTGCAGACTGATGGAAATCGTAGACCAGTGTGCTATGCATCTCGATCGCTTACCGAGACTGAGCAGAGGTATGCAGTGATTGAAAAAGAGGCACTGGCAGCTACTTGGGCGTGCGAGAGGTTCTCCGAGTATGTACTTGGTCTTCATTTCGAGGTGGAAACTGACCACAAGCCATGGTCACACTTCTAAACTCGAAAGAACTTGTGAAAATGCCTCCACGACTCCAACGCTTCAGAATGAGAATGATGAGATTTGATGCAGAGACATTGTATATTCCAGGAAAACAGCAGACATCCGCTGACGCCTTGTCACGAGCGCCAGTAGAGAGGCCAGGAATGGATGATGTCAACTTCGTAGATGAGGTTGAATCATATGCATCAACATCAGCCATCAACCTCCCAGTGACAATGCAGAGATTTGAGGAAATCAGAAATGCACAAAAAGCAGATGAAGTATGTGCAAAAATCAGAGACTACTGTGTTCAAGGATGGCCAGACTACATGCCACATAACCCGATCCTCAAACACTACTATGAGCAGAGAGGACACCTGAGTGTGGTAGAGGACTTGCTTATCTACGACGAGAGAATAGTCATTCCGAGAGCTCTGCGACTTGATATCCTTGAGAGGCTACATCAAGGACATCTGGGAATCACCAAATGCAGAGCCAGAGCCAGAGATTCAGTGTGGTGGCCAGGTCTATCAAAATCATTGGAGGAAATGATTTCAAGCTGCTTGACCTGTGCTATCCATCGCCAAGAGGTCCGCGAGCCTTTGATGAGCTCATCCTTTCCTTCAAGGCCATGGGAGCGTCTTGGAATGGACCTGTTTGAACTCAAAGGGAAATCATTCCTGATAGTAGTTGACTACTACTCGAGGTGGATTGAGGTCAAACAACTCCAAGGTCAGTCAACAATGGCAGTGATTTCTTCGCTGAAGGAGATCTTTGCAGTCCATGGGATTCCAGACCTTGTGGTTTCAGACAATGGTCCACAGTTCGCCAACGAGAACTTCAGAAAGCTTGCTGAAGAGTATGGATTCGTCCATACAACCAGCTCTCCAAGATACCCACAAGCTAATGGTGAGGCTGAAAGAGGAGTTCGCACTGTGAAAGCGTTGCTGAAGAAGAACGACGACATCCAGTTAGCCCTTCTCAGCTATCAAGCGTCACCACTCCAAAACGGGTTAGCTCCTTGTGAACTTCTCATGGGGAGGAGATTGCAGACTCAGGTTCCTATTTTGCCGCACATGCTGCTGCCACGGGTACAACAGCCGGACCTGACGACTGTGAGAGAGAAAGAGGAGAAGTACAGGTCAGATCAAATGATGACCTACAACAGACGTCATGACTCACGTGAGCTTCCAGAGCTACAACCAGGAGATTCCGTGTGGATCCGTGATCAGTCTCGCTACGGGAAAGTCACCCAGAAAGCGCAACAACCACGGTCCTACCATGTCCAGACAGAACATGGGACAGTACGTCTTAATCGCCGTGCACTGATTGCTGTCCAAGGTCAACCCACCAAGACCAGAGTGCCGGAGTCATCCATGAGCAACGATCCAGAGAGACCTGACGATTCTGATGAAAGCGACTCAATCGGTTCCCAACGTAACCAGCAGATCAACCGGAAGCAGCCTGAGGGAGCCTCTACACCAACAGCTGCGACAGAGACGCGAACGCAGTCTGGACGACTCGTGAAACCACCAAAGCGACTGTCCATGTAATGGGTTAAACTTAAATACCAAAATTGGGATTAACTTTGCAGGAACTGAAACTGAACAAGACTTTAAAGGTTTGGACAGTGTTTATTTGGGTTTAATAGTAAACTGGAATGGACTCGGGACTCGAAGAACACAATTAAGGAGAATATCCGTGAACTCTTAAACAAGATTATATTTCGGATTTTTATTGGATTTGAAACTATTTGGAAATCAATAAGAACTCTTGAACTGTTGATAATAAGCTTGGGGGGAGATGTGGGAATATCTAATAACGTCTTTATACAAGACTATATATTTGCAACGTTGAAACGACGACACGAAGTGAAAGTAAAACATAACCAAATCGTACTACCCTTTTGTGTCCATTCTCCTTTTGTCGTCTGAATAATACTACACCACACAAGTCAATTCAATTTTCTATTAAACAGACTATATAGTCTATAGTTCTACAAACATGTAAAATTTGCATTTTTGACCTCTACAGCTCTGAGTTATAGCAATTTATGTAACTTAATTCTGGCAATTCTATCTCTGAAATTATTTACCTCCAGTCTGGGTCTGAAATATGGTGGTGTAACAATAGTTCCCGCGTGACCTTAGTTTGCTATCTCAAAAAATTGGTAAGATTTCAAAAATTTGTTACCACCAAAGGACAGAGGAACGTTAAACTACCAAGATACATTTTCTATGGAATCAGGTGTGAAATGAAAATATTGACAAAATATTAAAAAAAGATTGACTAATTTTGCAGTCTTGTGCACCTGTTCCGAAAAAAAGGAACTTACTGACAAAGCTCTGGATATCTTTATTTTGAGGGCAAATCTACATGTAAGTGTATGTCTCAAAATTGTGATTAAAAAGTTGTACCAACTGATTGTAATTAAATTGGTATATTTTGCCTTGCAAAATATACAATTTTCTTATATTTTATGGAACGCTTTTTAACATAAATAAGCTGTAAACTCCCATGCGCAAAACAAGGTCTTGTTTTTGCAATGACTTTATTATCGGTTGCAGCCCATACTGATGATACTGATCAGACATCAAGGGCCGTTTCTCGAAACCGTCATAACTACAAGATCAACGACATCTCGCCACTGTCACGCAACTTGTCAGCTAAGTGTTTCACGAAGCCGTCTTTGCCAAGATGAGCGACAACTTCCACGACAATTAGCGAGTTGTCACTGCTCCGAACCTGTCATATCTTTTTAATTGCTGTAAAGCGCCATCACAAGTCAGTTTGTTGCCATTCCATGGGCCGCGAAATGGACGATTAGTGTCACCATCATTTTGAGAAAAATATAGACGAGTTCGGTACGTAATTCTCTGGGATGCGAAATGCAAATGTACAAAAGTGAGAATACAAATTATACAGAAACTTTAAAAAGCTGAATATAAACATTAAATCACAAATCATTAAACTATAACATATAAATAAGATAGATAAGAATGTTACACACCGTCTTCCGTAGTCGATCCATAGTCTTTTCTTAGGATACCGTCATACCTTTGGGGCCTATGTGCATTATTATTCCCTCTCTAATTACTTCTTCCAAATTATATTTTCAATATCAAATCAATTATATAACGAGTATTTATGAGACTCTAGAATAAAAACTGGCTGAGAAAAGACATTTTGCCTAAAATTCCTCGTCACAATAAACAAAAAAGTATGTATTGATAAACTATCACATTACGGTATCCTTCAACTAACTTTTGATTCGCTGTCAAAAAAAAAACACTCACCGGTTTTTCTTCAATTTAGGAATCTTTACAGAAATATGCAAATCGTTTGATGATGTAAATATGATAATGACACTAGTTATTATTTATTTTAGGAGAATTTATATATATATATATATATTTCTTTTTGAACAATTTTAGCCCCAAAACTTGTTTTGGGTTATTCTTGATAAATCAAATGGATCGTGACAAAGACTATGTTCTTGAGCTGCTAGTATCGCGATATATCGATATCATGTCTGTCATGGCTTTGTGAAACGGTTTATCCGCTTCATGACATCTCCGTAGGTCGCCGACAAAGATATGACTGTCATGGAGTTGGTTTCGAGAAACGGCCCCCAAATTTTGAGATCGCGATATCTGCGGACTTCTTTTTGCAATAAACTTTCTAGTTGTACCAATTGTAGTCAAAAGCTTTCCAGTCCATTTGGTAATAATTTGACTAAATAAATTTGTGTAGAATATGAGAAATCATGGATCGAATCACATTTCCTAATATTTTTAAGAATCTCTGCGAACTATGGTTAGCCCATCATACAGATCTAGACCTACTTACAAATCTGACATTTTTCACCTCTTGCTCAGCTCAGTGGCTCCAGCATTTTTTAAAACCTTTGATAGACTTCCATTTTTCGCCTTTCAACAATTTTAAAGATAAAGTTGAGTACTGGTAAAAAAAAGAAAATTATTTCTCACAGAATCAAACGAAACTTACACTGAATGTTCAAGATTACAAATAAATGACATGTGCCAAACAATTTTGGAAGAAAATGTATACTGGCTGAGTAATGAGCATAGAAAGACAAGGAATCAAGGTAGTACCAGCCCCGACACCATGCGTGTTGTCCCATACATAGCTTTCTGTGTATGTGCTTGTTACTTTACCAAGACTCGGTCAATGGATTATGATTTTGATGACTCCAGAACCTTGCAGTGCACACCAATACTTACATGCTACATGATCAACTGTTTCTGATCCTTTCCACACCTTTTCTTTCACAATGCAATCGCATTACCAGTACTAAAGTTTATCTTTAAGGTTTACCTTTGCATGGCACTTAATTTAGTCTTTGACTTTGCTAGCTTGGTTGGCTCTGTCTCTGCCCTCTGACATTTATAACTTGCACCTGGCCACCATGCCCACCACATCCCCTTTCCTTTATTTAAGTTTAGACCTAGACTCTAGTCTAGACAATATGATTGACAATTTAATTTCAAATTAAAACTAAAAATTAAAACTAAAAGTTAAAGTAAAACTTTCAAAGACATCTCATTCTCACTCTCAGTATGAAGGGGTGACCAAAGTTCGCGGACATTTTCGAACATATTACAAAATGTGATATTCGATCTATGATTTCTCATATTCTAAACAAATTTATTTATTTCAATAAGAGTCTAGTCTATTACCAAATGGACGGCAAAGTTTTTTACTACAAATTTGTTCAAATAGAAAATTCATTGTGAAGGATGTTGGAGATATCGCGATCTAAAAATTTGATGGCCGATCGTGCGTGCGCGCTGCATAAAAAAAAAGTCATAAAAACAATGAGACCTAAATACACGCACAGGGGTTTACAGTTGATTTATCAAAAAAAGCGATCCATCAAAAAACTTCTACTTTTTGTTCTAGATCTAGAGTCTAGACTCTAGTCTATCATAATTTGCAAGACAAGATATGATAGGGTCTACAATCAGTTGGTAGATCTAGGCCTACCACTTTTTACTTACAATTTTGAGGAAATCTGCTCTCGAATTGAAGATTTTCAGACCCTAGCCTTATCGGTAAGTTTATAATTTTTCAGAACGGACGCAAAAGATTGCAAAATTTGCCCATCTTTTGTCGATATTTTCACAATTTCGTACTCCATTCCAAAGAAAATTTCAATTCTGGGTAATTTTATGTTCCTCTTTCCATTGGTGATATCAGATTTTCGAAATCTTAGTCTTAGGGGTCTACTGATTTTTTGAGATAGGAACTTAGGTCACGCGCAAATTTTGGTCACATGTCCATATATAGAGAGGTCTAGGGGCGGTATTCTGAACAATGTTGTAAGTATTGTGTTATCTTTTGTTGTATCTTCCAGAGATAACACAGCGCTAATATTGTTGTAAGTTGGTATTCTGAACATTGTTTTATCCCTGTGTTATCTCTTGAAGGACCGCCTCTATCTTATCTTTGACCACTGTTGACACGCCCATTTTTATGGACCCTACCAATCAAAATCTATTTTATATAAGCATGATAAGTAGGTCAACCAATAGGAGTACTTTATGCTACATCTTCGCGCATATTAATCTTTGGCGTAATTAGTTATTTGAGCGCTTATTATATATGCGCGTCCTCATATGCGCTGAGCACGTGGCACATGGATCATAAAGACAAGTCACGCTTTCAAGAGACATCACAGAGATGAGAGCATTAAAATTGTCATATCCTAGCATGTAATTTCTTAGAAATTTCTGATCTTTGATGTCTCCAGTCAACACACAACCTTCTTCTAACTTGTTTATTGCCACTAAGTTGGTTCTGGGCAAGAAAGAATGCCGCTATTATATCACCACGAAAGATACAACAGCCCCCTACCTGTTGTAAGTATTGTTGTAAATAACATGCAAGATAAGATAAGATAAAAGATACAACAACTTTCAGAATACCAACTATCTCGACATATTATCTCTCGTGCGCATATGCAAATGAGGATTAGATCTAAACGCCACTTTATTAATAATACGCACAATTACAAGCGCACCAAATTATGAGCGCAGGCACGGCCAATGAGATGAGAGAAAAGATACAACAAAAGATAACACAAAAGTTACAACAATGTTCAGAATACCAACTTTATCTTATCTTCAAAGATACAACAATCTTAGAGATAACACAGGGTTCAGAATACCGCCCCTGATCTAGACTAAAAACTAGATCTCAGATTCTCACATTCTCAGCTGAGACTCGGTCAGAGTCAGAACGTAAAACAAAATTTGTTGATGTTGATTAGACAAAATAATCTAGAAATCTAGGGTCTAGACTTTAGTCTAGACTCTAGATTTAGATCATATTCTGGTCTAAGCGCTTTATAAGCACCGTTTTTTAAAATCATTATTATTCTGTCTGTCTTTATCACCCATGGCATCTACTCGATACTCCACACATTAAATTTTAAGTCACAAAGACACGCACAATCATGACAATGCACCCAATGCACAACCAAAAGTGAAGTTAACATGCCATGATGATGATGATGTCTACGTTCGTGTCAAGTCAAGTCAAAACACACCATCAAATAATCACATTTGCACAGGTAAAATTGAAAAAATACAATAGCGCGTTATTGACGAATATTATCTTATATCTCACATTCAATTAACTTCAGATAAAATGTCTTTACTAGCAGCAAAAATAGAGAAATAGTTAACAGAACGAAGAGTCTCACCTGCTCGTGCTGGTATCGTGCTCTAAAGTGAGGTTTCAATGATGCGCCTGGTTTAAAGAGCCGAAAATGATAGACGTTCATTGGCTGGTCTTCATAACAATATTCATGAGCTTAATTTGCATACAACAGTATAAAATATATTTATGTTTTTCAAACGCGTTTAATACATCTTAGCAAATTTTTCAAACATGAATTCAAGATTGATTTAATGGTTTAATGCACAAGAATAATACATATGGAGAGAAATATTGAATTCCATTATCGCTACTGAAATTCAAATTTAAAGAGCTAAGAGTTTGTGCATAAATTACTTAGCGTCATGTCGCGATCGGTATATGATATCGATAGTCCAAAAATAAATAGAGAAAAAAAAAAAAAAAAAATTACAGAAAGAGCTGTATGATTTGAAGCTTAGAAATGAAAGATGTCTGGGATATCTATTCCACTTAATTATCAAACGGGAAATTCCTGTTGTAAGAGGTAGTGATCTCACACGAGAGAATCGTCCACCAGGAGAACACATGGTAAATATCGCTTTGACGCCCGAGACTCGACTGAGTGATGCGAGAGACGTGAGGAAGAGTGTCCGTGCATGAAGGTGGCGGGAGAGCTGCGGGTAGCTTTTCATTTCACTTCTCGTAGCCAGCTATGGTTCAGCTGTAACTCCAGGGAGCTCCGACGTCTTCGCCGTCGGACTCGGGGCTCCCTAGAGTTTAGTTCAGCTGCAGTGCAGCTTGATCTCAGTCTTATTCATTGTAGAAAGACAAGATCGATAGACATAATTAATTGAGCCAAATCAAGATATTAAATTAGGGATCTTCTTACCCTTGAATCTTGGTGCAAATAGGGTCTACCGTATGGAGGGGGGGGGGGGGGGGGGTGGAGGGGTGTCAGGTACTCGGGATTCAAAAAATAAAAGCTTGATTAAAGCTGTCATTTTTGCCTTTGTATTCAATATATAGTGGTCTAGACCCTAAGTCATAAAAGATATATGAAATAAAAAGCCCTTCTAGATCTAAACTAAAGTAAAAGTGTTGAGCCCCATAATATTTGCCAAAAATTTGATGGCAAAATTTCACTTACATTTTATCCTATCCTAAGGCCTAAAAAAAAAAGATGTTGTAGGTCTATTGCCCTTTAGGTGCCAACATGGGTCGGTCGGTCAGAAATCTTTAAAAAAAACAAAAACTTTTGTTTCTTTTTTTATCTCCCTCTTCGTGGGCTGATATTTCTCAGCTTTTAATGCTTTAATTTGTTTTTCTCTAAAAAACGGTAAAAAAAAAAAAATTAAAAAAAAAAATTAAAAAAAAAAAGCCAACAGTAGATTTCAAGATTTTGGGGTCGATCGAAAAGGGCAATACAAAACATCTTTTTTTTTAAAGGCCTAATGTGAAAGAGGATGTCATTAAAGACACACTTTTGCAAAGATTCCCCCCCCCCCCCTCACCAAAAAGACAAATATTGATAAAAGAATATGTTTGGGTTTTCTGTTGTAAATCTGTGCAGAAATGTGTTTCATATGAGATCCTCTTTCACATTGTGATACAATTTAAGTGAAATTTTTACATCAGACTTTTTAGGGCTCCCAGCACTTAATAAGAGGGGCTTTAACTTATTCAAATTGCTGTTTTAAATTTACTGTTCGGATACACAAATTCAAGACACACAAAGTCTGATAGATACTGAGAGAAATTTTAAGCACACTTCATTTTCAATTCTAGAATACTAACCTTAAATTTCTTTTGAAAGAGAAAAATCAGAGAAGCAAATTGGTTAATGTTTGAATGCACTAACCTTTTAGATATCTTTAGTTTCAAATACTTTGGAAATCTGTTAACGTGTTTATTATGTCTGTACCTTTTTTAATCTTTGAATTTTTATGGGAATTGTTCTTTCCTGGTGTTATTTTCTCTAGAATATGATTCACAAAACACATTAATGAATACCTATTAAATTTACCCTTGATTGCATTGACAGTTTTCACAGGAATACATGTAGGATAAATATATTTGGATAAATTATTCATGGCTAGACCAGCCATGAATAATTTATCCAAAGACTTGTTTTGTATGTTAACTTTCTACCATAATCTAAATTTGTTAAAAATTGTGTTGAATATTTATAAATCTTAGTCGTATTTATTTACATTTACTAGATCTAAATGCCATAATTAAAGTTGTATTAACCACTTCTTTTTGCCGCCAAAAAAAAAATCAAAGTCGGGGGTGCGTCTTATACACGGTTCACACACAAAAAAAAAAAAAAAAAATTAAAGTTTTGATTTATGCCCCTCCACCTGGCGCTATGCCTGGCAATGTCTCCCAGCTCAGTAATCGGTGTGTTGACTTACCACTCGGAAACTAGAACAACACTCAAATTTGTTTGTCATCTTGGTTTGAAAGTAATCTTTCTGATAGATCTCAATTTCTAGTTTATAATAATAATTCCTCCAATTTTTCTACTATTACACGGCGTACCATATGGTTCTATCATAGGTTTTTACAGTTTTTAATTTACATTAATGATCTTACACATTCAGCTGCACCTCGCAGTTAAATGAAAGGCCTTCCCGCGTGGGTTTTTTAACACAGACCTGGCTTGCTGCCGACAGAGTCGGCAAACAATTTTTTTTTTTTTTTTTAAAGGGCGAAAAAGAGGGGTGCGGTTAATACACGAGGGCGGTTTATACACCGTTAATTACGGTATGTATTATTTTCAATCTCAGTTATTCTAAAAAATTACGATTTAGTTTTTATGACTGCGAGCCTGCGAGGATATTTCAAAATCAATAAACCATATGTTAATTAAATTAAATCCAATTACAGTGTGCATAGCTGGGTATGGTAAAGCCTTTCCATGAAGATGGACATCACTGCTGGAATGCAAGACATGTTTCAAGCCGAGGGGGCTTATTTGATCTCAGAAGAGGATATCAAAAGACGGAAGCAAGAACGTCACTATACCATGCTGAGTGAACTTCAAGACATGGCTAGGCAGCTTCCTATGTAAGTATCTACATGTATGAGGAAAGGGGATTCTGCACCACCCCTTATTTTGTTCAAGTTCTTTTAATATATTGTCTCTGTAACTAAAAGTGTCAAATTTCTTAAAGGTAATTGTAAATCAGCTTGATGGTGTATGTACATATGCATTCGTAGAGGTTGAAGAATATCCAGATAGCGCTTAATTGCAGATTGCCCATTTGTCAGTCAACATCTGACCTAATGAATCATGATTTTATTGTAACCAACACCAAACTGTAATTGTATTGTAAGAATTGGTCTTCAAAATTAGGCAGTGAAATAAATTTTGGGAATTTGGTGTTAAAAATGACATTGCTCTTTCACTCTTCAAAATATAACTGCTAATTTGCAATGTTTTTGGGATGTGGCCGGATGTATTCACACAGCATCTTAAAAACTGAACTAAATTTGTTTCCCATGGCTTAATTAAGATGTCAGACCTATGAATTAGTTATGGAAAATGTTGTAATTTCACAGGTGAATATGGAAATTAGGATCCTTTGTTCTCTTTTTTTAAAACTCTCATTATATATCAATGGGCTGTCAGTATTTGAGTTATATGGTGCTGCAAAAAAGATTATTTTACATTACCTGATACAAGTAATACGTAACAACGTAATCTTACTTATACAGTAGGCTTGCGGGTGCACCATGTGAGAGAGAGGGAGGATTGAGGAGTCCTGAAAAGGGACTCTTGGTAATCTTTCTTGAGGGTGTGTAGTCCTGAAATCTTACTTTTCTCATGAACAGGAATTTCCAGCAGCTTCTGCCATACACGACCCTATCCAATCTTGCTCTGTCTCTATTGGATGGCACTGTGTTTGAGATTGTACAACATCTCTCTGAGATACAACAGATGATGGAGAGAAAGTTGATGGAACAGAGAGCAAGGCTTCACAATAGTCATAAATGTAAGGAGAATACGATTAACCCATTGGCTGGTATTCCAGTAGCGCATACTAAGTTAGCGTGTACTAAGTTAGTCCACACTTTTGTGGAGTGCCTGTTGCCAACTCATTTACCCTATACAGATTATTTTAATCCTTCCATCAAAAGTGTCCAGAAAATTAATTTTGCAATGAAATGGGAAGAAAAAGATAATATGAGTATGAACTGAATTTCAACAAAGTCTTTGGTAGATTATCTTTGTCATGAATATTGAAGGAGGAAGATGAAACCTAGCATTCCATAGAAGTTTGAACTAAAATTCTTGTTTAGTCTGGACTTAGTCCCGGCTTAACTTATGAGAATGTCACCCATTGACTTTAAACAATAATTGAGTGTAGCGGAATTGCAGCACCAAAGGGGATGGTCTGGGGGAACCAACTACCTTTAGTTCAAACTATACATCAACATTTCTTCTTAGAGTTTGTCTTGCATAGTTTGCCACACTTGAAAGTACTTGTAGTATCTTAGCACTTGAATCCAGTCTGATGCATTGTCCTTGTAGTAATTCATATTGAGGAAATCCATTTCTTTGAATAACATTCTTGTCTTAATGTATTCTATGACAAGAATAACAAATGCTTGATTAAAAAAAAAATCCTCCACTGAGGAGGCATACTTATTTCAATGTCATTTTGCTGCTGACAGAACTTTAAATGACATTTTCACAGGTCATTGTGAATGGTAAATAGTATGTTCTATTGTGACAATTGTTCCCTTTCTGTATTTCAAATCTGCTTTCAGCCCAGAAGTATCAGATGCAGAAGAGACACCAAGCAGCCATGCAGGATTGCCAGAGCAAACCTCACAATATACCACGAACCAAGATTGCCAATGAGAAAGAGAAAGAGGTGTGTACAGTGTAGTGTTTCATTTGAAATGTAAAGCTTACTGCCTTGGTCTACTGAAGATCTTAGCCTAAACATGGGCATATTTTGATATCAAATTCATGAAAACAGGACGCATGGTTGTATAGTTGGTACAAGCAATATGCAATTTTTGTCCTAACTAGTAGGAAGTATTTCCTTGAATGCTTGAGCACCTCATCATGGGAGTTTGTTTAAAGGTAAAGACCAGTATTGGAAACGCCCCAATTTCAAAAAATGAAATGGAAGCTCTCATTACCAATCATGTGAAAGAATATGTTTTGACTAATACATGATGATAACAAATTTGCCAGGAAACCACCTACTAATTCATATATTTGGTAAATTTGTTTCTCTCATGGTCTGTGAGAGATATAGGGCAGTCCCATATACATCTTTCTGTGTATAGTGCTTGTAACTTTACAAAGAAAGGGCCAAATTTCTTATCATTTTGATGATTCCAGAACCTTGCAGATGCTAGATGCTAGATGATCAACCTTTTCTGACCGATTCCACGTTTCTTTCACAATGCAATCGCATGACCATAACTGGCCTTTACCTTTAAAAAAAGATACTTCTTTAATATTAGATGGCCTTGAGTGTGATACAAGAATGTATTGCTCGAGCTATGACAATATTGGACGAGTCAAAGACTAGTCTAATATTGTCTTAGAGAGAGCAATATATTGTTGTATCACACAAAAACAAAGCCATACAATATTATTATTATTATCTGTATTAGTTGGACTAGAGAAATAACAAAAGTTGACTTACCTCTGTAAATATGGCTTTATTTTTGTGTGATATCGCCATGATAGCTATAGTTGGAAGTTCACGGATGACTGAGCAATACAAAAACAATATTGGTCAGTCATCCGGGTAAGATATTGAATACACTGATTTATTGTACCACTTGGAAACCTTATTTAGAAAATAATAACAAATCTGGTTATATTATAATTGTTACTATCATAACTTTTTCTTTAAAATTTCGCAACAGGCACTGGATAAGAAGATGTCTGAGGAACAGAAGAGAATGGATGAGAGGATCTTGATAGAGTTAGACACCTGTGCTGCAGAGCAACAGACAACCCTTGAGAAGGCTGGAGTCCCTGGCTTCCAACGAACTCATGATTCAAAGGAGTCTAGACTACAGATGTACATCCTGGAGTTTATCACAAAGTTACACAGAATGGAAACGGCAGAGTCGGTCAGTTAACATGATCTGAAATGTCTTGTAGATTTGCTGCAGAGCAACAGGCTACCATGAAGAAGGTTCTAGAGTGCCTTGCTTCCAATGAACTCATAAACCTTCATAGTGCAGCAAAGGTCCGTCCTGGTCGTGGAGTTCATCACTGATTTGCACAGAATAGAGTTCCAGAGACTGTCAGTCAACAAGATATGAACAACATAGCACATCAAAGTGTGTCGTCATACTGGCCAAGCTGCCAAGGTTGCTGGTTCCCAACAATTTTGTGCCAAACAATGGCATGGTGATCACACCAGCACCAAAGACTTAGTTTGCCCTGCTACACCCTATTGCTTGAATGATTTCATGATGAACCTCATGCAAAGGCTCTGTTGTTTGGAACCAGTAACATTGACGACGAGCGAATATGACGTTATCACTTAGGTACTCTATTGGCAATATGGTCTAAAATTTAAGTTATGTGGTGTTCTTGTCACTTAATAGTCCATTGCAAGTTGCTCATCATGGACATGGATAAGTCTAGACAGTGATCTGGGAAACTACATGTACCTGAAATGGGCTTACACTTCTGGAATTGAATGTTAACAATGATTTTCGGGAAGAATTTGATTTTCCATTATGATTACCAGGTGCAGATGTACTTCATGCACTAAGGAGAATATTGTGGAGATACATGTAGAGTCTGCTTTCAGTTTAATAATACAGTAATCTCTGTTACAATGTCACCCCAGGAGATTCCAAGTTGATGCTGATGCCAGCGATTTTCATAATTTGAAAAGGTTTGTCAACATACAATCATTGTTAATGCCATATGGAAACTGGAAAGAATCATGAAGAATACTATGTTTTTTTAACCATAGCTTATTGATATCATTATCTTACAGATAGATGGTAAGCTGCAGGGTTGCATTTCATCAAAATTATTATAACCATTTATATTTAAATACACTGAAGTCAATTAATTTGATTGGGTGTGAGTAAATTTGGTATACACTGTGGCTCAGTGTGAATAATACTTTTCTCCTTGCACGAGCTCTTTTAAGATTAGGTGTTGTATAAGTGCGATTCCCATACATTGATATTTAAGTAAGTAATTGATATACATGTGATACCAGAGTTCTTCGTCAGTTTACCAGAGCTATTTTTATATATAGCTTCCCAAAGCCAAATAACTCACTGCTTCTATTCTTTTTTCCTGCTGTTGTTGCAACTTTTATATGCTTCAAGTTTTAGGGACTTGTTCCCCTAAGACATGTATTTCTCCATTTAGCTTTTCAAGAAATGTTTTCATCTATGCACAGGTTTTCAGGTATGAAAATGGTAATGGCAATGAATGTAGTCGAAGGCCCTGGGCCAATAAACCATACTTGGGCTGGATGAGGTATTCAACATGTTCTGAAGAATCTACTTCTGTATCTCTTTCATGTTTCTCATGATAGTATATGTTTTTTCTAATTCTATTATTTTAATGTTTCAGAGACATATCATTTATTATTATCGACTCACATGTACACAAAATGTAAAATCTTTAACAATGAAAAATATTTTTAGAAATTGGATTTGGGAAATATCTAATTTAATACTGATGCAAAGTTTTTTTATAAAAGTTGAAGAGATTTTGCACAGACAATATCAATTTGGTGACTTGGCAAAATATGGTTGCTGGCTGACTTTTATCATTACATTACTACAAGACTCTCCATGTCATGTGCACATGTTGTAATTGGAAAACTCAGTGATGTCTCCATGACATGATGGTTGGTTTGATGCCAAGAAATATGAGTGTTGATTACTAGTGAATAATGATATGGTCACATGCTGGATAAGCTTATTTCTTTCTGGACTGCAGCCATAAGTGACATTTACAAAGCTGCTCAATATAGAATAAGACTTTGCAAGGACTGCATGTAATTAACTTTGGATGTATCTTCCTTTTGATGATTAACTATCTCTGTTCCCAATGTGTATTTCATATGTATTGTAATTTATAGGTTTATTTGCACTTTTTTGTTTTATTTAATATGTGATTGTTTATCAGTCTATTTTGTTTGTTATAGCGCTCAGAGACTTCGGTGGTAAATGCTTTATAAGTAACATTTTTTTTTATTAAAACAAAATTATATTTAACATTTTGATCATCCATGAATTTGTGTATATTTTAAAGTTATGATAACCTTCATGGTGGATGGATTAATTCTAAAAATGTTTGATGTCAAACTCTCGTCTCCGAGTCTCAAACAGTACAAATCTTAATCTGAAATTAGGAGAAATTCAAAACTTTTAATTCATGTGATATATCTTTTTTTATATTAAAAAGATATTTCTCAACTTAGTTTTGGCATTGCTGCTTTGATTACTTTAACTATGTGATGCAACTGTTATTGTGATTTTGAACAAATATGACATTAAACAAGCAGAGTGCAATACTATTTATAAGAGCTGAAAACAACCATCAGCATACTTCTAGGCTTGAATTTAAGTTACGTCTGGAATGAACACTATAGAGGTAAAACATGTCGGATGAATAAATCTTGCATTGAACAAACATATCAACTTTTGCTGTGTTGATATCAAGTTGAAAACTTGTCTTATGAAAAAAAGAAGAGGGAATCATTAAAAAATAGAGAAAAAGAGAGAGAGAGAGTTCAGTTCAGTTCAGTTCAGTTTATTGAATTCCATCTATAAAAACATTTTTACAAAGTAAAAACATACAATTCCATGTACAATATAATACATAAACTGGGATAGTTTATACATGTGAAATGAATTAAAGGTACTATGTCCCTTTTGCAGCCAACCTCAAATGCTGTAGAACTTTGCAGGAATTATGAATATGTCATGTATGTCCTATCTGTGAAATTTAAACATTAGCAGTGTCCTCATATTCAAATTATGCAAGGAAAACCGTTTACTTGCTAGACTTCACTCTCAGACACTATTGAGTGACTGACTGGCTTTTTTTCTTCTTTGGTAATAACATACATGAAAAGAGTTGTAAAGGGTACATGAGTATTTGTCTACATCAATAACCCACTTCTTGTGATGGCCAAGATTAAACTGATTGAATCTTTGCGCAGCATAAAACGTATGACCATTCGGTACAATTGTCTGAAAATCAAGACTATTACTTTTGGGCTCTACGGAGGACATACTGTGTATGATCGAATCTCTTTGTCTATAGCCCTAAAGTCGATGTGACAACTAATAGTCGTTATTTTCCCACTTGAAGACATTTTCAAGCCCCACCTTTTTTAGGGAAGTTCTATATTAGTATTATCTTTCAAATGCAGTTGGAATTTAACTTTTTCATTTTTTGGGCCTGCAAATGGGACATAGTCCCTTTAATACAAAACAGAATAAGGCACAGCTGTAAAAAGAACCAAGAAAAGGTTTTGTCTGGACAGCTTCCTATCAAATTAGATATAATAAACATAGTAAGAAAACAAGTAGCAAGTAAAGTTTCGGATAGTATCATTCAGAAATTGCATAACAACCGGAACAAACCCAGTACATGATATACAACATGGTAGGATGAAAAAGTCAGAAGATAGCAAAGGGGAAGAAAGAAAGAAAGAGAGAGAGAGAGAGAGAGAGAGAGAGAAAGAGAGAGGGGTAACGAGCTAGATAAATACATTCAGTGAGAGTCATGCGCAATCAAGAAACTTTTGAGATTACGTTTAAAACTGTTGTAAAATGAGATTGAAGTTATATTAGTTGGAAGCAAGTTCCAAATTTCAGGTGCATGATGTCTGCAAGAATATGATGCAAAATTTGTATTAACACACCATCGGTGATATTTCTTCTTATTTCTAGTATTATGGTTATGTACTGTACTGTTTGTTATAAACATATCGGATAAGTTTTCAGGATGCAGACTTTTTTCGTTCTTAAATATAAGTATAGCACACAAATATTCATTTAACTGGTATACATTCAATATATTAAGTTGTTTAAAAAGTGGTCTTGAATGAGATTGATAATGAGATAGCGTTATATTTCTTACAACTCTCTTTGTAGAATATATCAACGATGCAGTTTGGTTGGGAATGTGTTGCCCAAACAATGTTGCAATAACTAAGAAACGGTAATATAAGTGTATTGTATAACATAAGAAGAACAGATTGAGGCAAAGTATGGCGGAGTTTGCTGATGACACCAGTACGGAATGAACCGGGAGATCAAGTGCATGCATGGTTATTGCTCTTCTTAGTATTTATGACTTTCCTTATTGTCCTTTTAGGACCTAAAATTGCTATGAAGGCAATTTTAGACCCCAAAATGTGTGAAGTTTAGATTAAATTCGATCATACCAATTCAACCTAACTTTCAAAACAATACCGTGACCGTTAATTATAACGTATAAGGCGCTATCGTTCTTTCAACGGCTGATTCAAAATTAGCGAATATTTGTGGGGCCCCGCAAATATTAGAAAGGGGCATATTTGTGGATATTTCAGCCGTCTCTGAACCGATTTTGATTAAACACGATTTTATCATTTAAATTGCATGCTCTTTCAAATTTGACACTCATTTTTTCATTATCTCACACAAATTTTTTTGTGTAGCGCCCTCTATACCGAAACTCAACTATCCCTTTTGATAAGAAACTAGCTGACTTTTTTTCCATATACACTGTTAAAACTATACTGTGCCGGGCAACTGTAATAGTTGAAACTTTATGCAAAAAGTATATACATGTATTATTTCATACATGAATTACGAAATGTGAACAAACATAAGTGAATCTAATTAATGGTTCTTTCTATCAAGTTCACAATTCTTTTTTGAAATAAATCCTTATTGTCCTTAAAGAACTGGACAATAAACATTTCAACCATTATCTTCCATAAAAAAAAGAAGAAAACAAAAAAGGAACATTAAAACTTAGTTTTTTCCGAATGTCATTTCTCAAAATCCACCCTTTTGACGAACATGTGATGGAATTAGTCAAAAGCCGTTAGACGATTCTGTTAAAGATTTTTTCTTTTTCTTTTTTCTTTTTTTTTTGGCCGGCATTTTTTTTGGGGCGACCGCCCCCACCGCCCCCCCCCCTCCTCTGGCTACGCGCCTGCGGTAAGATGAGCATATTTTTATACCTTGTCCGCCCTCGGAAGCTCAGGGTTTAAGGCAATAAATTACGGGCAAGTAAGCATTCAGGGGCCCGCCTTAGGGCCCCTGGTGGTGTTGAGGGGGCGGAGCCCCCTGAAGCTCAGGTTTTTTTTAGGCATTTGATTACGGTCAGGTGAAAATATTGTGATACCTTATTGTGACAGGATACTAATTGGCGTGGGTTTCAGGAGGCGGAGCCCCCAGAAGCTCAAGGAATTTGGGCATTAAATTACGGTCAGATGAGTATCAAGAGCCCGCCTTAGGGCCCTTGGTTAGGTCAAGGGGGCCCAGCCCCCTAAAGCTCAGGGGTTTTAAGGCGTTTAATTAAGGTCAGATGAGCATTTTTTGATACCTTATTATTTTGTGACACTGGCAGGACATTTTTTTGGCATGGGGCCCAGCATATTTGATACCTTATTGTGACAGGTCACTTATTGGCGTGGGGTTCAGGAGCCCTAAGGCGGGTCCTGGTGGGGTCGAGGGGCGGAGCCCCCGGAAGCTCAGAGGTTTTAGGCATTGAATAAACGTCAGATTAGCATCCAGGGTCCGCTTTGGGGCCCTAAGCGGGGTCCAGGTGAGAGCCCTGGAAGTTCAAGGGTTTTAGGCAATTAATTACGGTCAGATGAACATATTGTGACACCTTATTGTGAAAGATCGCTAATTGGCGTGGGGTTCAGGGGGCGGAGCCCCAGAAGCTCAAGGAATTTGGGCATTAAATTACGGTCAGATGAGTATCAAGAGCCCGCCTTAAGGCCCTTGGTTGGGTCCAGGGGGCAGAGCCCTCTGAAGCTCAGGGGCGTTTTACGGTCAGATGAGCATTTGTTGATACCTTATAATTATGTGTGACACTGGCAGGACATTATTTGGCATGGGCCCAGCATATTTTGATACCTTATTGTGACACGTCGGTAATTGGCGTGGGGTTCCGGGGGCTCTGCCCCCGAAGCCCAGGGGTTTTAGGCATTTAATGACGGTCAGATTAGCATATTTTGATACCTCATTATTATTATTACTGTTTTTTCTTTCTTGCTCTCTTTCTTTTTATTTCTGTTTAATATACTTTTTCAAAAAAAATGTAGGGGGGGGGGGGGGGAGGAAGGAACTCGAGGCTCCCGATCCCCGCCGTTCCGCGGGCTCTGACATGTCAATAAGCATATTTTTTGCCTGACTGTAAATTTAGGAATTTGTCATTTTCCAACAAACGCATACAAAAGTATAATTTACTAAAGAGTGAGGAAACATTTCGGAAAATTATGTCATTTCAGCAACATTTGTAAATTTCCGTTATGGAATTAGAAATAAACCACGTTTGAATTTTATTCCCCCCCCCTATCAGTACGCCAGTGCCCCCCCCCCCCACCGATTTACACCTTGTTGGCGAGAAAATCGCAACTGATCTACCTTACCTTTCTTCTTTTCCTTTTCTTCTTCTTTCCCTTTCACTCCTCTTTCCCTTTCCCTTCCCTTCGTTCTCTCTCTCTTAGGTTTGTTGGGGGGGGGGGGGGGGAGGCAAAGGCCTTTCGCCCCCGATCCACACGTTGTTGGCGGGATTAACCGCAACTGATCTCCCCCTTCTTTTCACCCTTTTCTTTTCTTCTTCCTTTTTTTTTGTTCCCTTTTAGCTCTCCTCTTTCCGTTTCCCTTCCTTCTCTCTCTTTTTCTTAGCGGGGGCTGGGGGGAGCCAAGTGCCTTTTGGCCTTCTTTTCTTTTCATCTTCCTCTTCTTTCCTTCCCTTTTTTTCCTCCTTTCCTTTTTTTCTTTCCCTTTCCTTTATTCTCTCTTATTGTTTTAATTTGGGGCGGGGCGGGGAGGCAAGGCCCTTTCGGCCCCCGATCCCCTTCCCCTTTCTTTTCTTCTTCCTCTTCTTTCTTTCCCTTTCTCTCCTCTTTCCCTTTCCCTTCTTTTCCT